AAAGTCAAAGATTTGTTTGTGATCTCATAAAGAAAGAGCTCCAAATGGATAAAGCTCCATCTTAGTGTAGACTGACACAGGAAACAAGGGACAATTTTCCCGCGGGAAAACCAATTGTATCTGACGCAGTTGATGAGCCAAAATGTATTATTTTGGTGTTATATCTGTGTTATTTGTACATTATGGCTCAGAGACTACATTATGTGTAATTGGTCTTCCCGCGGGAAAATTGTCTCTTGTTTCCTGTGTGATAGACTACTTTATAGTAAAAAGTAAAATAGATAAGAGACAAGAGTTGAGGGCACACAGGTGAAGATAATCAAATGAAATAGAAACATATCAAACATCACACAGGATGATCAAAAACATGTTAGCAACATCACACAGAATGGTTGGACACAAACCACAACAAGAGCACATTACAAATACACTATAGCTACCATTACATAATATTTGATGAAACCAAACATGTGATGTGATCACCAACCAAGAAAAACTTCACTGTGAAAATACACTTTGTGCCCAGTTAACATTTTAGCACTGAACTTGGCACACCAGATATTCTTGCACCGGCTGAAACAAATTCAAAATGGTGAAAAAAACAATTTACCCCCCTTCAGATCAATTTTTCCACCAAATTCAGTGACACCAAATGATCTGGTGTCAAACAGGTTGATGGAGAAATCCCCCTCCCCATATTTTATGGCTTTTGAAAAAGAGGTGATGTTTGGCAAAAATATATGATCAATCAAAGAATCATATATCATCATATATTTGACCAAACCAAAAACAGCCTTGAGCCTTTTATCAGACAATAAAGTGTTTTTGCCCCCCTTCCTTTGATCAAACTTCATCAATTCAGTCACCTTGTTACTTCATTCCACACCTGTTCAACAAAATCTTCTTATCTCTTTCACCCTCCTGCTTTAAACCACCCAGCTTTCCTTTAATTTCAGCTCTACTATCTTACTTGGCTCTATTGTTTCATAGTGTCAACCTAGAGAGTATACATATTTACTCCTTAGATAGACAAAAAACATAATATATTAATTTAAGCTTTCTTAATATTAAAAACATAAGAAAGCCTTTACAACTCACACTCGAGTATCAAGAGTGAAAAGGTAGTAACCAAAAACCCTTGTCTAACCAAGCCAAGGAAGAAAATAAAACAACCAGGCAGGGTCTAAATAACAACCCTACCCACGTATACAAACTAACCAGGCAGGGTTCAAAATGATGAACCCTACTAGGGAAACGGTTCAATGACGAAACTATTGATCTGGCTCAGTCCAGGAACCAACTGAACCCTGACCAAGTCAGTCAACCAAAGTCCTACGCGCATAATTTACTAACAGCGTAAAAGTTTTGTATAAATGTCCTGTCCATCTGACAGAAAGAACAAATCGCCATCTTATACTCACCACTACAACTTTTTACTATCAATTCAAGTTTTAAAACTTTCCTACAAAGCTTTTGCTTCTAAATTCCACCAGCCGATTACTCATAACTTAGAACGAACAAGCAACTATAAGCTACTACATTCTATTTTATCTGACTTTGTGGTTTTTACCTAAAACCTTTTGGATTGATTTTACATCCTTGACCTGATTCTCAACGAGTGACTACAACTAGTATCTGATCAACTCTCTATCTTAAACCTTAGTCAAATATTACTCCCAGATCTGTGTACTAGAATAACTGAAGAGTCTACTCTAACGTTTTCGAATACTACAGTAGAATTTAGACTACCCTAAGACAGGAATACTCAGGTATCCATCTTTAGAAGACCTTGAATAAAAGACAATTCTTATTCAGTGAGTACTTTTTAGGTTCAGCCTTCTCTGGAAATATCAACAGAAAGCTAACCTCCCGGCTCGAATTTATCTCAACAGCAGTATCAGGATACTGGGTTGTAACAAAGCCAACAAATTCAAATACTTACATTTTAAGAACCGTAAGTAAGACTGCTTTCAGTCTTGAGTTAGTTGTTTTTCTTAGACTCAAGCTGATACATAGTGTTCATTGCTTTTTGTTCTAGTTTCAAACAATGTTGTAGTCTTGTACTAGGATCATCTCTTTTGATGGATTTTGTTCTTGTTCATATTCTATATGCCTTTTTAAAGGAGACAGAAGATTTGTGTGGATGACAGCCATTCATTGATCTGGGGGTGCATCCACTTGTTTCCCTAGAAAAAATGCACACAAGTGGCACTAGGTGTGTTGGGTGTGTATTTCAGCAATTTGTTTTTTATTGTAGTTGGAAAAACAGAAACATGTTGGAATGGAACAAAATCCTTGTTTTTGAGTAGAGTCTCAGAGACAAGCATGGCAGGTCACTTTGTCCGTCAGAAAGCCAATCCCAGCTAGAGCTGCACAAGTTTAACAGTGGAATGCATTGCATATCTCATCCATTGTAGTTGCATTGGTAGTCAATTTGAGATTTTTTTCTAAACTATGGCATTTTAAAGATAATAATAGTTACATCCCTCAGCTACTAGTCACTCGCAGGCCGAAGACCACCACTGACTTCAACAGAATTGCAACCAAATTTCAAAATATTTCCAAGCAATCTTTTTTCCCAACATACCACCAAAATTCTGACGTTATCAAGTGACATCATAAATTTTTACACAACCAATCCTGAATTCCCAGGCCAAGAATATATAGCTCACCAACCCTCATCACATAAATTGAATGAGGTAATAAGCTTTTAAGGAAACACCACGGATCAAAGAAAGCTATTTTGTGGCAATTTTTGTGCTACAAAAAAGGATTAAATCTTGAATATATTCAAAATGCATCAATAGACATGTTCAAACCTGACCCGGTTTCAAAAAACCCAGTTGACCCGGTGGACTTTTTGGCTGGAAGCGGTCAAGAACTGTCAATGGATACACAAAGTTACCACCAGAAAAGCAACTTGGTAACCGGGTTTTTGTGTCAACCGGGTTAGGTTTGAACACAGCTAATATACATATAAAAATTGATGACCATTTATGCAATATGAGTTTCCACATTTGCCAACTTAGAACTTGCTGCTGTAATTGTATGTATGTATATGTAATTGTTGATTGTATATGCAAAACTAGATCTGTCATTGTCCTTTCAGCTTTGGAGATGCTGGAGATGCAGATGGCAGAAATCATTATGAACTTTACTTTATCTGGATGAAAAAATAGTTTGATAACCATTTTTTCCATATGACTAGTCATATCATTCCCTAAGGCCAAAAAGCTACAAAAACCCTATTATACATATACAATTCATCATTACATACAAAACTACACCTCAGACTCAGACACTGTAGGGACAAAAGATGTGGAGAAACATGTGGCAGAAATGAATATCAAATGTATTTTGTACATATATCTTTGAGGTTTGACAATTTTCAAGATTTAGTTCTTCCTTATAGTAAAAAAATAGCTTTCTTAATCCATGCTTTTTTCTTAAAAGAGTGATAACTCATCCAATTCAAGTGATGAAGGTGGGTGAACTGTATATTCTTGATATGTCAGGTGTGTAGAAATTTATGATGACATTGGTATTTTGGTGGTATAACGGCAAATGACCCGCACATTAATATTATGTTGAGGATATGTTGAGGATACATTGAAGTTGTGGTAGCATCTGGCCTGCCAGTGACTAGTAGCTTGGAGCAGTGCTAGTGTGACTTTGAGACTAATCAAAACCAGATAATTTACAGTAGTTTTAAAAAAGCGTGTCACAAACTTTTTTGCCAAGCTAGAGGCCCAAGCTTGGTGGGAGTGTTCCCAATTGACAGTGGGCCAAAGCGGAAAGAAAAATGAGTATGTAGGGTGTGCGTAACTACACTACCTGAAAGCAGTAACCAAAGGCCAAGATGCTGAGTGGGTTCAGCTTAGCTCAGCTTGGTTTAGATGACCCCGGGCCCTAAATTGCCATCTGACTCACCATTGGATTTCCATTGCTCTTTCAAAAGAATCTCATCCATCATGGCTTACCAAAAGTATTGCTTGGCAACCAAGATTTGATTGTTCCTTGAAGAACAATCAGAAGACCATGTTTGAGACTCTAATTTTTGTTTTGACTCTGGTCACACTCTGGAACCACTTCTCATTGAAAAAGCTCAACCACAAAGCTTGACCCCCTAGCTTGACAAAAAGTTGGTGACAAGCTTTTGTAAAACTACTGTACCAACCAGGAACAAGCCAAACCTATCATAGTGGCTTTGGGTGCGCCCACGGTCTCCTTGAGTTTTATAGGTGCACCTTTTGGTGTGTTTTTTCAGATGCGCCCCCAGCCTGAATGGCTATGGATGATGTTTAGATCATCAAGATTGGATTCCAAATTTCAAGTGATATATGATCTTTAAATATGCTTCACCAAATAGCCAAATTGTCAACCAGATTTATTGAACTTTTGTTGACCTTTTTGTTTGACTGTTTGGTAATCTTATAGCCAAATTTCTTGTATCTCCTTCCCTTTTTTCAAGGCGCAGATCAAAAAAGTGTTCTTTGTAATCCTTTTTGGCTAAAGTTGCAGAACATGCCCTTTGTTATTTCTCATGAATTAAAGGTGACAGGATTGGTGATCTTGGACATACCTTCAACCTAGGGATTGGCCGAGGTCCTACCACTGGCAGGAACATTCTGTCACTAGAGCCGACGTGCGGCAATGTCCTGAGCACGGTGCACGCACCCCCGCAGTGACTGCGGCCGTGTGGGTACTATGTGACCCTGAGTAAAGCACGTCGCACTCCAGGTTGAGTGACACAATATTCCTCCCATTGATGTATCAGATTAATAAAGATTCCGATGGGATGATCCGGTTACACAGAATATACGAAACAAAATCGTGATAAATCATTTGAACCAGCTTGGAACATAGAAACATAGGCTGGATTAAATGAGACACAGCGGGTGAAGCCGGGGGAGCGCCTGGCATGCTGAACGCGATTCGTATCGTGTTTTGATTGCTGAGCAAGTATCCTGTATTTGCGGTGTCATATAGTCAGAGTAAAAATGTTCAAAGGTCGACACCCGCGATCTGATACAGAAGTTATTTCATCAACCAGAGGAGACGAGTCGGGTCACAGTAAAACTGCGGTTCAAGTTCTCCGACAAAGAATTGAATGGTGTAATGATACAAGCTCACAGATCCTTTTGAAAGACGCAAAAATGAGGCATACATATAAAGAAGTCAATATTGATTTGCCTGAAAACCTTTGCCACAAGTCCCTCCTATTTTGCTTGACCGTTATTCTGAACCACGCAATGAAAATTTTGCAGCTTTTGATTGGAGGGTGTCTAGGACTTTTCCTATTGGTTTGTTGTCCTAGCCCACATCAGATCATCGGGTTTCACGACGTATCACCCAAGGAATCTTCAGGGCATATCCCACTTAAACTCGATATATCCGACATAGAAAGGTATGCGGAGCGCGGTCTAGCCAAATTTATGAGCACATGCCATGAAGGGCTCCCATTCGCTAAAAACTCGAATTCAAGGATAGACAGGTTGCAAGTATTCAGTCTGTCGGACAAAAATTATAAATTCCAGCCAAAGGGCGAAATCCCATCTTCAACTTCCAAATCACCAATCAAGACCATTTTCAGTATGGCAACACGTGACAGTGGTTTTTCGATTTACGTGAAATTGTGTACAAAATTGGAAACGACAACAACTCATCAGACGGTCCTTTTGCTGGCTGATGCCATCTTCAACCTCAACTGCTATATCAAATTTGTGATGAAAGAAACACACGATATGACAATCCCTGGAGACTACATCCCAGCTTTGTGTTTGAAAGGCTCTCTATATCAGAAGACAATCGAGATCGCCCTAGAGGTTTTACAACAAGACAATCTGAAATTGAAAGAAAGGCTTTGGGCGCTAGGAGTCCTGCAAGAACTTCAAAAGTGTCTCCCATTGGGAGAATTACAACCAATACGAGAGGATGTACAAGAAGGGGCCATTTGCCGAGGAATTTTGGAGCTCTCTCTAATTCGAGGTGTGTTTTAGTATCCATGAAATGACAAATGCTACCCTTTAATGACACTGTTCATTTGGTACTTGACTATGTAGGGATCAATTTATCACCCATAACAGTGCATAGTTGGATGTGGACTCCAGCGGGTGGGGAGACAAATCCATGTAAGTACTTTCATCAATAATGAAGTAGTAAGTTAATAAAACCTGACTTGAACTACATCATGCTTGCAGTGGTTTTAGAGTCATTGAAGAGGGTAGAATTGTTATTGAAGCTTCATGAATATCTCAGGATTACCAAGGGGTTGCAGCGCACTCAAGAATTTACTAGTATACATGACACATTACTCCAAGCAAACTTTCAAAATCCAGAAGAAGCGCTTTCAGTTTTTGAAAGATGTGAAAACCATATTATAAATGAAGCTTCTCCGCAAGGTGAAGTAATATGCCTTTACCATGTTGTGAACCACATCAAAAAAATCAAAAAACCTGCAACAATGAATTCTGAAGGAGATATCATTGTTGGACCGCTTATTGATCCCATCATGAATGCTATCTTTGAAAACATGTATAAAAGATTTAAAGGAAGATTCATGTACGAAGAAGAAGTGTATGCCTTGATACAACAATATTTAAACAGAGGAGGTGGAGACCTCTACATGGAAAACCTGGTTACACCCTTCCTTGGATGGTCTCAAGTAACCATCAAACATTATGAGTATGTTTTTACTGCTTTGAAAGCTCAAAGGCGTGCTTTGATCAATATCAATCCTGAATTACTCAAAAGGCATCCTTTCATGCTCACCACATATCAAGCAAATGAAGATGATGTGATTGAGATACTACAGAGAGCATCAAAACATATACCAGGGGCCAAAGATTTCATGAAAAGGAAGACTCCAGAGCTTAGTGAGTTTCATTTTTAGGATCACATTGCATAATTTTTTTGGAAGTAACCAAAACAATTTCAAAATCAGACATGCTATATCATGGCTCCTGATCTGAACATTCAATCACATTACTAGTGGCTTGCATCATAGTATTTTTAAAGGATTGTAACAGCTTATTAAGAATGCCTTCAAACCTTTTAGACAACTCTCATCTAAAATCTCAAGGATTGAACAAGGAGGTGGAGGCAGATGGTTCAGTGTGTCCAATTTGTACAAGTAATTGGGTCAATGGAGACAAGGTGGTACGGTTAGCATGCCATGATACCCATCAATTTCATGGAAGATGCATGCAGGTGAGATTTCAAACCCAATAGGTCTTACACATCAGAGTATACAGTTGATCAATTATTTCTCGTAATACAATCAGAACTTTCTGCAATCAGAGGAGAAGAAAGAAAACTTCAACCCTCCTTGTCCTATATGCCGTGCTGCTATAAAAACTCCAATCCCTCGCAGGTGTCATATCTTTTGGTATGATAAACATCAAAAATACTTCACATAATGATCAATCCATTTCTGCATTTTCCGGGAGTTTGGCTGTTTTAAAACACCATATTAGAAGCCATATATTGTTCAGATAATTTTGACAAATCTTTTGAAATTGGAATCTGAATATAGTTGAAGATGAAAGATTACAGATCCATGATATGTCTCATCAATGTGTTTTCCTGATGTTCCACAATCATAATAGACCCAATAGCAAGCTCTTTACTCAAGAGTTTCTACAGAACATATCAAAAGAGACTTGTATTTATAGCATCCTTTATAGCGGACTTTGTCATGATTCATTTCAGTGTATGTACAATCTGCCATGTACGATATCCGGGTGGAATCACATCGCGTCTCTCAGAGACCCGAGTTTCCCGACCCGTGTGATCCGGGTCACATGAGCGAGACTCGAGTCAGTGTCGTGTGGCACAATTGAGTGATCCTTCAGACCAGTTCTCGCCATCAACCATGAGCGCTCAGAGTGGAATCTCAGTTAGTCCAGAACTCTCCGAAGATTTTGTGAAAGCGGTCTCTAAAACCGATGATATTAGATTAATTGTTGTCGTCATCGAAGATGGTGAGTGGAATTGTCTCAGCTTCGGGCTGTGTTTCGATCATCATAAAAGTATGACATGAAACTGATCGTTTACTGAAATGATTATTCAGAGGTTGCGATCACGAAAGTATCACTTCCACCTCACGTTGGCCGGTCCGACGTTGAAGACTTTGCATTGATTGATGATGTTTTGGAGGACGATAAACCGGCCTACGTTCTCTATAGATTAAACGAGCCAGAGGGTGGTAGTTGGATATTCATCTCTTATGTTCCAGATAATGCCAAAGTTCGAGAAAAGATGCTGTATGCATCAACTAGAGCTACGATTTCTAGACAAGTGAGGACTTATATTGATTACACCTAGTGATTCAATTTGCAAGTCAAGCTGAATATTGATTCTATTTTATTGGTAGCTCGGCGAAACACATTTCAAAGAGTCGATTTTTGCTACCTCAAAGCGTGACTTGACTCCTGAAGGTTATCTGGCTCATTTAGCTTCACAAACGGCTCAAGCTCCAATGACTGCACGGGAACGTGAATTAGCGGATATAAAGGCAGCTGAAGGTATAAGTGCAATCACAATGGGAACCGAAGTTAGGAGCTCAAATGTTTGGGGTGCCAATGGTGGAAATAATGCTAGCTTAGGACTTAAGTGGAATTCTGATGCACAAGAAGCATTTCAAGCTTGGTGTGGTCAAAGCGGTAGTAAATCGGTCCAGTTTGTAAGCGACAATCAGTATCTTTAGAGTTCTTGCTCTACTTTGTCTTCGATATATGATGCTTGGTCATAAATAAACTGATCCAATTTGGAATAGAACATCGAGTTGGGGACTGAAACTATCGTATTGTCAGAGAATGGCGCGTCGGATGAGTTGGTTTTTCCGGATAGTCAACCGTCATATACATTCTATCATTATACACCTGCTGCTCAAGAATCGATGTCTCTCCCTAGTAAGTTTGAGCAAGATTCAAGTGATATAACCTATGATGTGGCATGTGGAATGTTGAAATGTGTTATTTATCTGATTGCTTTCATAGTCTTCATCTACGCTTGCCCGCCAAAATCACCTGTTAGAAGTAGATTGGTTTATTCTTCTAGTTCGAGTTCAGTGTCTGGAAAAGCTAGTGAATTTGGAGTTCAACTTTCAAAGAAGGTACGAGACATGCTTTTATGTCAATTTCCACTCGGATGATGGCTCACTCGAAATCGATCCCTTTGCACCTTGATCAAAGTTCGAGACCTCCGATCCTGATGAAATCAATGATGATTACATCAACTCTGAGCTAAAAAGCATACTCGCACCGGTAGATTCGAATGAGTCGGCTTCTCATCAACCTCTCGATAAACCAGCGTTCGCTAAGCCTGCTAGACCGGGGCGAAGGCGGTGACTAGTTCAATTAATGGATCAAGTCGAATCTCAGACGGTGTTCAACCATTCGATGTGAGTTGATTGTAGTGATATTTTACTTGTACATCCATATGTGTATTATATTGTTTGTGACTATATATCTTGGGGTAAAGCAGTGCAAGGTGAGATCCTTCCAGCTTACTGGCAACATTTGGTAGGCAATCTCATTGACCAAGGGTTGGGATCAACCTATGACTGGTTTGATAGTTATAACTTGGTCAACTGTGATAACTCATAAACCTTGTGATACAGCGTTGGGTGTAGTGGACCGCTGTGGTGATGTTTCCCAGCAAAGAACTTGTAGATTTCATTGGAGAGCTGATGGTAAAGCATTGATGGTTCATGAAGTCAACTTACCAACAAGTCACGCCCAAAACAGTAGGAGATTGAGACTGCGTGACGGATGAAGGAATTTGAACTGTCTCTTGACCAACACAAAGTGGTAAACAGGCAGATAAGAGATGATGTCATGATTTGATTTCACGCAGAGAACAGCCAATCGAGCACAAACAAAGAAGATCAAACGACAGATTTATTCAAGAACATGAAAAGACTGTGACAAATCACAAGAGAATCAAGATGTCATCACAAGTTACACTGTCGTGAAGATGGTAGAGTAGGGAAGGCTCAGGTATGGAAGCTGACAAAAATTGAAAGCGTGGCGCATCGCACTACTGAGGTGACTGAAGATACCAAATAACTACTTCAATCTCACCTCAAAGAAACTATCACCATGCATCAACTCGGCTTATGTTCAACTCCTGTGCCAAGACTTTTGAAGGGTCTCTTTTGAAAACATCACGGCGGAACAGATCAGATAATCAGCAAGACTCTCTTTTGCTTCACCATTTCCCATCTTTCAGTTCTGGTCTTTGCTTTCCTTGTCGATTTATCTTGTAAATTTGTTAAAAAACTTTGAGACTCGCCGTTTATAAATCTTTATTTTACTATACATACAACGATATCTTCTCTCCAGAATCAGGAAGATTATCACTTCACCAGAGGTGGAAAGGCTCCGTCAAACGGTGGAATTCTATTTTTCTTCTTTGATTTATCCCAGCATCTAAGGGAACCTTCCGTCAACTCACTCCTATCATCGTAAAAAGCTTATACATATACCTATCCTACGGCGATCCTTTTGCTCATATTCCCATTAGTGGTCTTAACGATTCAATTTGGCTCCTGGGGAGAATGTACTTTTTATTCAATCGGTTTTTGATCTGTATAACTGTCCACATCATCATTGGAGATAAATTTCTCACTAAAAGTGTCTTAAATACGCAAGATCATCACGGGTACCCCTGTTCGAAAAGTGCGGATCAAAGCGGGCATGGATCTGAAACATGTATCGTGAGTCAATGATCTCTTGAGTCTGACTCTCATTGAAATAAATCTTACCATCAATCTTAATTGACATTGGATCTCTAGGGAGAGGATTGTCAACATCTAGTTGATCGTAGATCCAACACATTAGAAAAGCGACAAAGACCGAACACGGCAAAGTGAATATCCATTTTTTTCTTGTCCGAAGAGGTTTTCTTTACTCATCTTCTAATTCAACTAATCACAGGGGAACAGGGACTCCACCAGCGGGAGCTTCAGGAACGGGAGCTGCGAACAACGTGAAAGACGAATCAAAGGAAGACCAAAAGAAGTGAGTCAAAATGATATCAAATGAGCTCCCCATTATTGATAATGATTGAATGCGTTGATCAATTTAAAAAATTATTAGATGGTTGGACGCTCATAATAAATTCAGAGCAACTTATAAGGCTCCACCCTTGGTTTGGAATGATCAAATCACACCTGCAGCAAAAGCAGTGGTTGGTACTTGCGTTTATGAACACTCTAAAGGACCTTACGGAGAGGTATTTATAAGTTTTTGATCTTTTTTTTCACTGAATCAAAATAAATCTAATTTCCAATGTGTCTTGATGATTTTATTTCACTTTAGAATCTTGCGGCTGGTCATACTAATCTTGAAAAGGTTGTTTCCGATTGGGTGAATGGACCGAATGAAAAATCAGCCTATAATCCTTCAAGACCCAGTTTCTCTCATTTCACTCGTTAGTCAATCCTTTTTAGTGACACAATTTTTTTATCGAGTCCTCCAGAAACAAATCATTGACGAAATGATTTTCTTTGGTTGATCTTTGGTTAATTTAACCTCTGTAGAAGTAGTATGGGTTGCAACTAAATCTATCTCATGTGCAAGAAATTCATGTACATCCTTAAAAGGTTTAAGAACACCTCAATCACCTATCATTTTTTGGGCTTGTGAATATTTCCCGTGAGTTTTCCCTTTGTTATCCACATTATAATAATTTTCATCTTGACTCACTTTCTTCTCATGATTTTTTATTGATCAATAGGCCTGGAAATGTAATTGGTCAATTTCCTCAAAATGTAAAATCTGGACAAGGTGGTGCACCTCTTTAGTGTTACACAAGATCTTGAGAAAAATTCATTTTCTTGTAAAGAAACCCACATTCAAATACTGTTACAATGGATTCGAAACGTGGTTTATTTGAATTTATTCAAATTGTGTAACTAATTTGATTAGTTATTTTGTTTATAAATTATATCTCAGTACGATACTCAAGCAGTCTTCTATCTCCTCTATGACATGAATATTTTTTGTACATAAATCGTATTTTACAAGAATGATTGAGCAATTAAATGTAGAAAATAAAAGCATCTTTATAAGATCAAAACCTTTCATGGTGAGAGTCAGAACCTACACTGCCCATTTAACACCACTCAGTTGAACATTCCAAAAAATATACCTTTGTAATTAAAATGAGAAGAGGAAGTAAAGATGGATTCAAAAAAATGAAGAACATCAAACGATTATCGTAGAAGTGAAAAAATGTCAAAGTAAGCCATCACAGGTTAAACTTGTCGTGAAGAGATGGTCGGGTAGAGTAAAGATCAAGAAGGCTCAGGTAAGGAAGATAATTAATGAAAGCGATCTTTCTGAAATCGTGATCAATGTGTTTACTAAGATAGATTCCTGATCAAGATACCAAATAACAATTTCAATCATCCCCCAAAGACTGTCAAACCCGAGTCATCACTGGCTTATGCTTAACTCTCTTGATAAGCAATCACAAGAGCTTCTTTTGAGCTTCTTTTGAAGAATGTAAAAGAGCGAGTGATCGGAAAGAGTCGAGTCAATCGTTCATCAGAATGATCTGGCTGACTTATTCGAATCAGAATCATTCTTTCTCATCTTTCAGCTCAAATCAGATTACACGATCGGAACTCATACAATTCTCTCTTTTTATTGAGGATTTGATATATTTCACCTTTACCGTGTTCTCCGGACGCTGGACGACAATTAATTCAGAAGAACTCATAAGACTTCAACAGTGACCCATTCGAAGCTTTCCTTGCGACATCGTGTTTGGTAGTCTATATTGATTCAACCCATCATAAGGAAGAATCTAAAGTCATTTCATTGATAACGTTGTAAAGATATCGTATATACGTACGCTTGAACGCGTCGCTCTGGCACATAGTTTCATTCGTGGTGTTAACCATTTCGGTCTTGGATAGAATGAACGTTTTATCCTATCGGTTTTTGATTTTAGTCACTTTTCAAATCATCTTTGGATATAAACATCTGACTGAATGTCTCACAAATACGCAACAACCCCTCGAGTTCCCCACTGTGAAAAGTGTGACTCAAAGTGGAATGGGGTTTACGAGATGTATTGTGAGTCAATGATAATGATTCTTTCTTTTTATTGGCATCAGTTTTTTTCAAAAGCCTGATGAATGATTGATATATATTCAGAAAAAAGATTGCAATCGACTGGTGAATCGTAGATCTGATACAATCAAAAAGCGACAAAACACGAAGTAAGCGTGCACTTTTTTCTACCTCGGGCAACAAATTTTTCGTTGCTCATCCTCAACTCCTCACAGTCCAACGGAAGCTTCGGCGAATGTGAAAGACGAATCAAAGAAAGACCAAAAGCGGTAAGTGACGAAGATACCAAACAAGCCAATTGTCCTCACTGATCAAATATCTTGAAAACAATCTAGATGGTTAGACTCTCATAATAAATACAGAGCAACTTATAATGCTAAAGCTCTGGTTTGGAATGATTCAGTCACTCCTGCAGCCAAATCAGAAGTTTCAACTTGTGTGTGGGAACACTCTAGAGGACCTTTTGGAGAGGTGATTGATTTTTTTCAGATAACTTTCCACTACGTCGATATATATATATATGACCCTTATGTTTTTTTCTCGCACTTTAGAATATTGCAGCTGGTCAACCTGATCTTGAAGGTGTTGTATCAGATTGGGTAAATGGACCAGGAGAAAAATCAGATTATAATCCTTCAAATCCCAAGTTCTCTCATTTCACTCGTTAGTCTCAACTTTTCAATCACAATCTTTCAAAATATTCTGCAACATACACTGATTGAGGGCCGCTATTAATTAAATCTTTGGATGCTTATTTCTTTACAGAGGTGGTATGGGCATCAACTGAATCTATCTCATGTGCAAGAAACTCTTGTAAGTCTATGAAAGGTATAAATTTACCTCAATCACCTATTCTCTTTTGGGCATGCGAATATTTCCCGTGAGTATTTTTTTGTCTCATTTTGAGGATTGTTGTGACTCGATTTGAATTGAAAAAACCTTCTTGTCGTTTTCTCTTAACAGACCAGGAAATGTGATTGGTCAATTTTCTCAAAATGTGAAATCTGGACCAGGTGGAGTACCTCTCAAGTGATACAAATTCTTGAACAAAATATTTTTTATTGAGACAAAGTCCATTTAAATCCCAATGGATTTGGAAGTCGTATCAAGAAGGGATTGTGAAAATCAGATTGAGACACTCAGATTTTCTTCACATTTGTGCTCATATTTATGTAATTAAATCATATAGCTCAACTTGTGATACACTTTATCTACAAATTTTACATCTTTAATATATGTCAGTCAAGAATAATGCAATCATTTATTTTATCATTTGTATCCTTGTGTGTCATCAACATTATATTTGATGATAAAAAATTACCAAGGCGGTAAACTACAACAGGCAGGTAGATGATTTGTGATATGGTGTCATGATCTGATCTCCACATTCACATTGAACAGACAAGAAAACAGAACTCAAACAAAGAGGCATCATAACAACATCAAACTAAATGACAGCCAAAATGACTGTAACAGCTCATAGGGGCAGTTATATGCAAAATTCAGAGCCATCACCCGGTTTATTGTTGTGGGCATGTGGTCGGGTAGAATAGGGAAGACTCGGGCGATGGAGAAAACTAGTGAAAAAATTCTTACCCAAAGTGTGATCTACTGAGATGAATGAAGACAATGAATGAATAACTTCAATGATCCCTAAAATGAGAGTTCCCAGACTCCAGAGCCTGCAGAGGACTCTGTGTTCCATCACTCTGTAGCGGGAAAGAGCTTCAGGTGCGTGCAGGAGAAGGCTCGCACGTGACAAGTGACAAGACTGTCCCGAAGTGGTGGGCTGGAGCGCAGGATGTGGAGTCGTAGTTTTCATCTCTCTACTCCTCCATATCTTCTCTTCCTCGCTCGCACCTTGAAGAATTTTCTACCCCCGAGAACTGGTAGGATGCCGGCCCGGATGGAAGGATCAGAGAGGAGCCAAGCTTCACTTGATGGAACAAGAATTGTTCCAACACACACGTGAATACAAAGGTCAACAAGTGCCCTGATCTTGTATCACGCCCTACGAGTATTAATGGAAGGGACTATCATCATGCATCAACCCTGGTCCTCAATGACTAGATATTTTGCCAAGAATTTGTAAGGGTCTCTTTTGGTCATATCACAGCTGAACATCAACAGACCGAGAAGAACCTGATTCAATTTTTCATCAGAATCATCTCGCCAACTTTCTCTCATTCGGATCATCGTTTCTGGGATCCGTCGTTTCTCATATATCAGTGTAAACTAGTTCATAGAAGTCACACTCAATATTCAACAGATCCAAATCTTTCTTTTTTGTGACAATCTTTCTTTCATTCTTGTTTAAAAACCTTCAGGCTGGCCATAGACATTCCTTGAATTTACGATAACGATCTTCTCCACAAGTTAGAAGACTAAATCAAGCGACGAATCCGAACTGTTCTCGTGTTTAAATTGTTGTAACCCATCACAAGTTGGCTCAAAGAAACCTTCAAAGCTAACCCATTTCTATCATTGTAAACATTGTATATCCATTTTTTGAACCGAAACGCTTTTGCACATATCAGTTCCGACGGTTCATCTGGCCTCCTGGAGAGAATGAACTTTTGGATCAATCGGGTTTTGATCTGTGTAACTATCCAAATTCTCATTGCAGATAAACTTTTCACTCAAAGTCTCCCCAACACGCAAGATGACCTTCAGTTCCCCAATGTAAAAGGTGGTGCTGCAGGTGAACTTGAATACAAAAGATGTATTGTGGGTCGACCATCTTTCTTTACTTTCATTCATTAAAATAGTTTTATTCTCCAAAAGCCTGAATGAAATTTGATCTTTAGGGAAAAGATTGCAATCATCTCATTAACCGTAGATATAATCCGATTAAAAAACGACAATGTACAAATCAATCTCCTCCGTAAATCATGATGTTTTTTTCTTGAGATGAAATTATTTTTTTTAGTTTGAGATCTGAAATTTTCTTTTTTGAGCTTTAGAACTTGGGGTCTCGCCGCTTGGATTCCGACTCTATTTCGCCCTCCTGTTTGTTTGCAATTTTTCCAAGACTTTAACAATAAGAGAGTCCTTACTAATCCAAATTCATCCTTTACAGGCTGGTCTTGGTGACTCATGCTCTCCGAAAGATAATACTAGTATGCAGAAGATAGATAGTCTCGCCATGGTCAACCCCCAAACGAAGTAATGATGAAACTTTCTTAAACTTTCTTATAAAAGCGTTTCTATCACTCATCTTGACCTTTTCACAGAGCACCGGCCGCTTCAGGTAGTGTAAAAGACGAATCAAAGGCAGACCAAAAGCGGTGAGTCTAGAAAATATCAAGTGTTTTCATTCTTGTTCACTGATCAAATGTGTTGAAATACCCCATTAAAAATCATAAGATGGTTGGATGCTCATAATAAAGTCAGAGCAAGTTATAAAGCTCCACCTTTGGTTTGGAACAATCAAATCACACCTGCAGCAAAATCAGAAGTTTCAGCTTGTATGTATGATCACTCTAGTGGACCTTATGGAGAGGTAATTAAAAATCTGGATGGTTTTCTACTAAAACAAAATAGGTATACCTTTTAATTTAAGATGAACCTTTTTGCACTTTTAGAATCTTGCAGCTGGTGAACCTAATATTGAAAAAGTTGTATCAGATTGGGTAAATGGACCAGAAGAAAACTTGGCTTATAATCCTTCAAATCCTATGTATTCACATTTCACTCGTTAGTCAATTTTTCTTCTTCTTCTTCAACTTTGAATTTTGGATTTGAATGATTTTGAAACATAAATTGATGATTTTTTTTAACAATCTTTATCTTTTGTACAGAAGTGATTTGGGTATCAACTAAATCTCTTTCATGTGCAAGAAAATTATGTTCACCTTTAATAGATCCAGAATCACCTGGTCCACCTGACCCTATTGTTTTTTGGGCATGTGAATATTTCCCGTAAGTTTTTTTTCAATCTCATGCAAACGATCAGTGAACTCATCTCGTCAAATCATAATGAAAAGACTGGTTGAATGTGTTTTTTGAAATAGGCCGGGAAATGTGATTGGACAATTTGATCAAAATGTTAAAGCTGGACCTGGTGGCGTGCCTCTCAAGTGATACAAAGTATTGAGTGAAACGTCGGTCTATTGAAAAAAATTATATCCATTCTTCCAAGTGTTGCTTGGTAAAACAATCTCCTCAGTAAGAGATGGTGAGAGGAATTCTTTGGGAAAGATGCCTGTTGTTGGAGTAATAACTCTATCCGAGATAGATTTTGACAGTGTAGTGTTTGAGAGAGCTCAACTTATGCTGTGAACCCTCTCACAAATGATATAATGACATGCACCTGCAATAGTTCTTGAAAAGACCTGTGTTTGAAAAATTGCTGATCAACAGAACAACAGCAATCGAGCAGGAAACCAAACAGCAGACAAGATCAGAACAGCAAAGATGATTGTGTCAAATCATGATAAGAGAATTGAAATCTCAAAGTAAGCCATCACAAGTTACAGTCCTGTGATGATATGGTCGGGTAGAGTAAAGAAGGCTCAGGTAAGGAAGATGACTAATGAAAGCGATCCTTTTAAAAGCGTGGCATAATCCTAATGGGATGACTAAATCATGATAAGTTCAATCATCCCTCAATGAAGGGACTCTTATAATCATTCATCAACTCGGGTCTTCATCGGCTTATGCTCAATTCTTTTGCCAAGAGTTTGTAAGGGTCTTTTTCAAAGTGCAACCGATAAAGTGATCGAAAAGAATCCAATGAAATCGAACGGTCATCAAGATCATTTGGCTGACGGTGACCTTCTTTCATTTGAATCCTTCTTTTTCATCTTCGAGGTCAAGAAGAGTCAACAGAACCAATTCTTCTCTTCTCCTGATGGACTACGATCACTTTACCAGATCTTAACAGAGTTCATCAAGCAACGTATTGACTCTTTTTCTTATTTTTTTTCTTAAAGATACATTCCAACACAAGCTGGCCTAAAGAGTTCTTACATCCAACTCATTCCTATCATTGTAAAGATTATATATATAGGTTTTTTAACCTTCACTCTCTCGCCTATATTTTCGTTCGTGGTCTAGTCGGTCCATTTTGTCTCTCGAAGAGAATGAATGTTTTATTCCATCGGGTTTTCATCTTGGTCATTATTCAACACATCATTGGAGGTGAACTTCTTACTCAAAGTCTCCCAAACACGCAAGACACTCTTGATCCTCAAAGTACTACTGAAATTGCAATTGGAACTAAGAGATGTATTGTGAGTCAATGTCCCTTCGTTATATATATTGGCATTCATCTTTCTTCAAAGGTCTAATTGATCCATGATCTCTAGGGAAAAGATTGCAATCATCTAGTGAATCGTAGATCTAAAACCATCAAAAAGCGACAATGTACAACTCAAAGTCCTCCGTACGTTGATTCTTTCTTAGGAGCCAATTATCTCTTTTGAGTTTCAGGCTCTAAAGCTTACCTATATCAAAATATAGAACTTGGGGTCTCGCCACTTGGATACCCGGTTTATTTCACACTACTGTTTGTTTGAAGAATTCAAAGACTTTCTTCATCCCAACGATTCTTGCTAACCTAGTGATCGGTTTTAGCCTATTCCTGGTGATTTATGTCCTCCGAAAGACAATACTGCTAGCAGTATCCAAAAGGTAGGAAGACCCGGTACCTCAGACACAAGGTAAAGATGAATGTCATTTTCTTAAACTTGTGCACCAATGTTTTAAGCATCTTAACCTCTTTGCAGAATAACGGCAGCTTCAGGGAACGTGAAAGACGAAACCAAGGAAGACCAACAGCGGTAAGCCGTCAAGATATCATATCAACTCATCATTGATTAATTACTGATCAAGAATATCATCCAACTCAAAAACCGTCATAAGTTGGTTAGACGCTCATAACAAATACAGAGCCACTTATAAGGTTGCACCTTTGGTTTGGAATGATCAACTTACATCTGCAGCAAAATCAGAAGTCTCACCTTGTGTTTGGGAACACTCAAGAGGAGCATATGGAGAGGTAATTAAAAAAATTCTGAAATTCTATCAACTCCAAAAAGAAGTAAATGTAGTAATGTTTTGTTTGGATGTTTGGATTTTAGAATATCGCAGCTGGTCAACCTGATATTGAAAGAGTTGTATCTGATTGGGTCATCGGACCTGGAGAAAAATCAGTTTATAATCCATCAAATCCTACATTCTCTCATTTCACTCGTTAGTCTAAATCTTTCAAAAATCATTTTGAAACATCACTTGATGTTTTTTTCTCTCAAGATTTGTTGAAATTTGAATTCTAATACATTTTTTTTTCTTGACCATTACAGAAGTAGTTTGGTCTTCAACTAAATCTATTTCATGTTCAAGAACTTCATGTGTCTCTATGAAAGGTATCTCATTACCTCAATCACCTATCATTTTTTGGGCTTGTGAATATTTTCCGTAAGTTACTTTTCTTTTGGTAACATAACATTTTTTTTGATAATTGGTTTTCAAACTAACTTTTAATTTTTTCTCTTTTTTTTGAATTCTAGTCCTGGAAATGTGATGGGTCAATTTAATCAAAATGTTAAAGCTGGACCTGGTGGTATACCTCTTTAAGTGATTGTGCTGAGTAATTGATCAAACCCATTTGTTTTCTGAGAAAAACCTTTTGTTTTTTATAATCATGGCGGAATTTGTTTTATTTGAATATATCATCAGCTTCCTGTTTTGTCAAAGAGTTGATCATCTGTCTTCAAGAGCAAAACAAGGATTGGAACGGGTAACACACCGGTACGTTTGCAGAAGTTGTAGTGTGCATTATCATTTTCTTTAAAGTACATTGACAAGCACTGCTTCTGGATCAGATTCAAGTTCAACCTCGTGAGTGGCAGTGGCAATTTGTGTTCAAAACCCACTTGTATGCAGGGCATAAAGAATGAATCCCATGATCCATTTTGCCGTATCCGCAGTATGGAATTGATAATTATAGAACTTAAGAACCTTTGAAGATTGCCAAGAGTAAACAAATCGGAGGAATTGTACATAACAGATCACTATGCGGGGTTGAAAAAGTGAATGAGGCTGTGCAAATGTGATAGAGTTTTTGGGATATCAAGGGCTTTTTTAGTTGTAGTGATTGGATTCTTTCCGAATTATAAGATGTAGTATATTACAACTTTTAGCCAAATGATTCGACTGCAAATTCCGGTCAAAGAACATTCACGGGATTCATGTTTGTGGCAGTTTTCAATTAGTACAATATAAAAACACCAAGACGAAAATCTACATCCACATCCAGTCAGTGTGATCGTAAGCTAAGAAAACAAACCCGCTAAGATTCGAATTCTACAAAATTAAAGATTCTAAAAGAGAAAATTCCAAAGTGGAGTGATCCGTGACGATTTAGAAGGGTGAATTTCAATGAGTACTCACTACCACGTGATTTGAGAAAGTAAGTTTAATATTTAATTTTGATTGAAGATGGCTATGATTAAAAGACTTGAATGACTGAATTGAAATTGTAGAAGATAGATCACTTGATAACGCGCTTTGTTGATTTCTTACCAAAAAGGACTCAAAAACTTCATCAAAAGGTACGATCTAGAGCTCCAATCCATTTTAATTCGTCATCATTCCTCATCCATCACCATCATCATCATCATCGTCATCTAGACTTTATCAATCAATCTTACCAATTCTCATCAAACTTAATCCAAATTCAATTTACTTCTTCATCACTTCTAATCTTCGCCTAATCAACTATCCTTCAAATCTCCAAATCCCCAGATTCTTTAAAAACCTTTAACTACTTCAATCTTTTACCTTTCTCATCTGACCTTTATCGTCATCACTATCCATTAATCTGACTTCAACTACCTTCGTTCTGTTTAATTGTTCATTCAATTAAATATATTCCCCTGTTCTATCAATCCTTACAAATATCAACCAATCTTACATCTCTTGATCAGATTTGTAATACAAAACTAACAAGAAAAGTAAGTCAAGTTTGAAATTCTTGAATCTTCATTAACTTACAAGAGATTGAGTCTTTCTTCTTGGTAGGAACTTTTTAATCAAATTGAAACTATAAAGGAAAAAATACCCATTTTTTTCACAAAGATTTCTTTGGAAATCAATCTACAGCAAAATTAAAGGGTAAGTTTACCGGATTTTTTGATTTTTTTTGTATTTTTTTTGTTGACTTCAAGTTTCATGATATCAACTTTACTTAAACCTTCCAAAACCTTTCTTTTTTTCTTTCTTTCTTAATCTGTTTTGCCGAAATCGACAATAATTCGCCATGAATGAATTATGTACTGCGCATACAATTGACAATTTGACCAACCGATTGTAAGTGATCTTCTTGTGATGAGATGGTGATGAATTGATTTTGATTTTGATGGTATTTGTTTTGTTTGTTTGATTGATTCGAATAGGTTAAATTGAATTTCATTTGACTTGATTTGATTTTGATCTGAATGTGGTGTAACCTGATATTCTTGTTGACCCTTCTCATCTTTTTCTTTTTGTCTGCTACTTTCGATCTATGTTCCTTTTGATTTTTTATTTTTTATTTTTGATTTGATTATCAGTCATCTTACTATACAGTCTAGCCATCGATCTTGATTCAAATCTCTTAACGTAATATCAATTCATCAATTTCTTTTTGACTCATGTCTGAACATCTTCAACCTCCTACTTCGGGCCGCTCTCACTTACCGGACCTTGCATTGAATTCATACCCAACCTCTCAACCATTAAAACGAACGAATTCCAACTTTGAAACTTCTAATCAATCTACTTTGGACTTTCCAAATCCTAAGGGTTCTCTTTCGATTCATAGTCATCCAACTCCCATCTCAGTGGCTCTTCTGCCTCATCCTCAACGTCCTAAAATCAAAGATCTCAGTCCAATCAGCAGTAATCGATCTAGTAGCATTGGTGATCAGATCAGTACTTCTGGAGACGAATCTTACACATCTTTTGAAGATTTGTGTTCTGATCAAAGTCCATGCATCAGTAACGGAAGTGGAGAAGAAGAAGAATATATACTTGATCAACAACTTGCTACCAGTAGTTGTTCTGATCATTGGCCAACACCCAAACCAGCTACTCGGATCAGCAATCATTCGACTCAATCCTCTTCATCTACTAAACATCATATCACTCAATACCAATCGCCTATCTTGGCTTTCTTACAACAATCAGTTTCTTCTGAACTTCCTTCGAGTACTACCACCATTCAATCACCTTCGCCTCCCATCTCAACTCCTTTCTTGGGACAATTACCGACTATGATTTCGACGATCCATGACGATTTCAAAACACCTACATTCAAGTATTCTGACTCAACTCCGAAGAAACAAGATTTAGTGAATCGTGAGACCAAAGCTTCTCAACCAACCCTCTTGGTTAGTAGTACCCCGGTGATTTCAGTTAATCAAATCAAGTCTTTACCTAATGCTCAACCTGCCGTTCATGGTACGAATTTCATCTTTTGATTGTATGCACCTGATGAATCATGTTGACACTCGTTTTTTATTCTTGTCACATCTTTCCACAGTCAAATCTAATGATCTTAATAAGTCATCGGCAGCTCAACCAGCAAAAGGAACTGACTCTACAGTGACTTCGACCGCAACTGGTAAAGCACCGGTCGCAGAAGGCCTACCACCACCACCGCCACCACCCATCTCATCATTGAGCTACTTACCATCCGTTAACAATTTCAAACATCGAGTTCCATTCACTGATTTTTTGGCTGAACAATTCCTGAAAATCCAATCACTCTCACCTATCACTACATCAGCTTCAGATTTCAATCCTGGTGAATTAATAGATCAATACCATCGAATCCGTCTCGAATTGAATGAATATATTTTGAAAAATTCATCTTTGAGTAATCCAACGAATCCTAATCGAGATGGACGAGAGCATCATGATTGTCTACAACAGAATGAGATTATCGTGTTGAATGGATTGATTCAATTATTAGATGATAAATTGGTTCATTTAGCTGATCAAACTAATCCAAGTCATGCACCTTCAAATATTTCTTCATTACCTATCAATTCTGAAATTATTTATGATGTAGGAGGAGGTAGGAATGTAGACGAACGAGCTGAGGCTGAAGAAGTTGAAGGTCATGCAAGATCTAAAATCATTATCAACAACAAGGAACTCACAGCTGAAGAAGAGTTGAAGTTACTTAAAGCTCAAGTTCGAGATTTCGCTCGTGTTTGCAAGGTATGTTGTGTCTGTATTTGTTAGAGAGGAAGACACAAGTTGACGAGTTTTCGTTCATTTGCAGGCTGTAGCTAGAGGTGATCTTTCACAAACCGTGACCATCAACGTCCAAGGACATGATTTAACGGAATTGAAAGCTGTTGTCAACGGAATGGTTCAACAATTGAGATGTTTCGCTGGTGAAGTGACAAGAGTGTCCATTGAGGCAAGTTCAAACTTTACATTCACGACCCGTTGTAGGCATTGACAATTCACACTAACGCAATCTTACGCTTTCATAGGTCGGAACTGAAGGTCAGTAAATCGTAAATCCTCTAGCTCTTGCGCTTTCTCATCATCCTTTGTTTTTCAAATATATCTAGGCCGATTAGGTGGACAAGCAATCGTTGAAGGGGCAGAAGGGGCCTGGAGAGAATTGACCGATGTAGTGAATACATTGGCAGCCAACCTTTCGGAACAAGTTCGAGCTATTGCCATGGTTACTAAATCTATCTCACGTGGTGATCTTAGTCAAAAGATTCAGGTTGAGGCTAAGGGTGAAGTTCAGGAATTGGCAATCACGATCAATGATATGACTGATCAGTTGAGGTCATTTGCTGAAGAAGTCAGTCGGGTCGCTCTCGATGTTGGAACTAAAGGAAGGTATGTTACAATTCACCGCCATTTTCGCTCATTTTACGCTCGTCTTATTTGGTTTGTCATGATTACAGATTGGGAGGCCAAGCCGTTGTTCACGGTGTTGAAGGCACATGGAAAACATTGAGAGACAATGTCAATCAAATGGCGAGTAACTTGACAAGTCAAGTTCGATCCATTGCTACTGTCACCAGTGCGATTGCTGCTGGTGATTTGAATCATAAAATCGAAGTTGAAGTGATGGGAGAAATGGCCGAACTCAAACAAACTGTCAATGGTAGGTCTTCAAATCAAAATCAATCTGTTTGTGACCTTTTTGCTTACATGATCGGTCTTTAGGTATGGTGGACAAGCTGAAAGTCTTCACCATTGAGGTTACTCGTGTAGCCTTGGAGACGGGAGTCCATGGAAATCTTGTAAGACAAGTTTCCCATCTCAGCCATCATACGTCTTTTTGTCTGATTTTTAAATGCTTTCCTTTGCTCACAGGGTGGCCAAGCGGTCGTTGAAGATGTTCAAGGAGTTTGGTTAGAGTTGACATCAAATGTGAATCGAATGGCCAAGAACTTGACGGATCAAGTGCGAGAGATTGCGATTGTGACGACTTGTGTTGCCAAGGGTGATCTTACGCGACTTATTACGGTTTCTGCCCAAGGTGAAATTTTGGCTTTGAAATCGACAGTCAACTTGATGGTGTCTACTCTTCGTTCGTTTGCTGAGGAAGTCAGTCGTGTGGCTTTAGAGGTAAGAAAGAGCTCCTTTGCTTCAGTGCTTTGAAGTAATCTGTTATTAATACTTCGAATCCCTTGTTTTATGTTGAGCTAGGTCGGAACCGAAGGTTAGTCCATTCATAGCAACGAACATGACTTCAGTTGAATTGACGTTAGTTTTGATTGACGTCACAGGTAAACTCGGAGGCAAAGCTCAAGTTCAAGATGTCTTTGGAACTTGGCGTACCTTGACAGACAATGTGAATACGATGGCACATAATCTTACCACTCAAGTTCGTGGCATCGCCAAGGTGACTACAGCTGTGGCTAAAGGAGACTTAAGTCAAAAGATTGAAGTGGATGTTAAGGGTGAAGTTCTTGAATTGAAATCTACCGTTAATGGGATGGTAGATTCTTTGAGATTGTTTGCTTCTGAAGTCACGAGGTTTGTGAAGTTCAAAACACTCTACGGGTTTTATAATCCTTTACTCAGTGAAGTTTTTGGTTTTTCTTTTGCAGAGTTGCAAGAGAAGTCGGGTTTGATGGAAAGCTGGGTGAGTAAGATTCTTTCTGGATTTCACAAGAGGTTTTACTAATCCTTTTGAAATAGGTGGTCGAGCCAATGTAGAAGGTGTGAATGGAGAATGGCGCAATTTGACGGACTGGTAAGTTTTCTTCACATATCTCATTTAGTTCGTCGAGGTCTCTTTGTCTGACGTATGAAACGTGTACACCAGTGTCAACACTATGGTGGATAGATTGACGAGCCAGGTCCGATCGATTGCTATCACCACCACTGCTGTTGCACAAGGTGATTTGACGATGAAAGTCGATATCGAGGCAGCTGGTGAGATTGCTCAATTGAGAGATACAGTTGTAAGTTTTTGATTCTTTTACTCACAGGAGGTAAGTCGTGTTGATGTTTGTTTTGAAATTTTTGGAAATAGAACTCAATGATAGATCGCCTGAATATCTTCGCACTTGAAGTCGGTAAAGTATGTTTGGAAGTGGGAAAGAACGGTGAGTTGATTGAGAGAGAGGGCAAGGGGATCGAAATTGAAACTAATTTTGATTGATTTGATAGGAAACTTGGGTGTTACTGCACATGTCACCGATATCGATGGAACGTGGCAAGATTTGACAAAACACGTGAACAGGATGGCATTGAATTTGACAGGTATGTGTCTTTATCTTTTACCTTGAGAACTAAACCCTGATCCATGTCTCTATGACTAGCCCAAGTGAGAGCTTTTGCACAGATTTCATCGGCAGCTACCAATGGAGACTTTAGCGCCTTCGTGACGGTTGAGGCATCTGGAGAAATGAACAGCTTAAAGAATCAAATTAACTCTATGGTGTTTAGTCTGAGAGATGCTTTACAAAAGAATACAGCAGCTCGTGAGGCGGCTGAGTTGGCTAATCGATCCAAATCTGAGTTCTTGGCTAATATGAGTCACGTGAGTTGATTTCTTTTCTTTGGTCTCGATATGATTACTCACCGGGTTGATTTGGTTTTTTAGGAAATTCGAACACCTATGAACGGGATCATTGGGATGACTCAGATTACGTTGGCTACTGAGCTGACTAGACAACAGAGAGAGAATTTGACAATTGTACATGCCATGGCTAACAATCTATTGTTAATAATCGGTGAGCTGGTTTTTTTCATCTGTGAAGGGTTTAATTTATATGTGTTAACATGAGTTTTCTTTTTAGATGATGTGCTTGATCTTAGCAAGATTGAAGCTGGTCGTATGACCATTGAAAAAGTGCCTTTTGCACTTCGCACTGCGGTATTTGGAGGTCAGTTTCTCTTTATCTCTCGGACTTTACTCAAAGTGGACGCTGATAGATGGTCTTGTCGAATTAGTCCTCAAGTCTTTGGCTGTGAAAGCGTTGACAAGCAACTTACAACTCGTGTTTGATATTGCGCCTGATGTACCTGACTTTGTGGTCGGTGATCCGTTCAGAATGAGACAAGTCATTACCAATTTGGTCAGTTGTTGTGGTTTAGGAATGAGCTTTTTGAGTCACTATTGATGTGATTTATTTTCTTAGATTGGAAACGCCATCAAGTTTACGTCTGGTGGACACGTAGGATTGAGTTGTGAAGTGGCATATCAGGATCCGATTACCGATGAATTTAGGCTAGAGTTTTGTGTGTTTGACACTGGAATTGGTATCAAGCCTGACAAACTCGATTTGATCTTTGATACGTTCTGTCAAGCGGATGGATCGACCACAAGAAAATACGGTGGAACTGGACTTGGTCTGACAATATCGAAACGATTAGTGAACTTAATGGGCGGTACACTTTGGGTTGAGAGTGAATACAATTATGGATCAAAGTTTTTCTTCAGCATCACAGTCAAACCAGATGATGATCCTAGTTCAGATGAATGGGCGAAAAAATCAGTCGTCTATCCTCAAGCTAGAATCATTATTGTGGCTAGAGAATTAGGAGAAGAGATTGAAATTGCAAAAGTAGCCAAAGAGATTGGTTTATCACTGACTGTTGTGGAATCTTTGGCTGAAGCTGATTTATTGGCTTCACAAGATCTGGATTTGAAGTGGAGTGCTATCATTGTTGATTCGGTAAGTCTTTGAAGATGTTTTCGGGAAGATTTGAGCTACAGAGATTTACATGATGCCTTACTTTTTGCTTCGAACAGTTGGACCAAATTGCTGAATTACGTGAGATTGAAGGGTTGAGGTATATCCCAACAGTTTTGATTTGTCGCAAGCTACCGAGGTTGGATATCAAGTAAGTTCAACGTTCATTTGAGTTTTCAGTGTCTACAACGAGGGAGGCTTATTGAACGACATCTTCATCTTATAATCAACCCAGGATCTGTCTAGACTATGGTATTGCAAATTGTATCGAATTTCCAGTTTCACCTGCCAACCTTTTCAATGCGCTCGTACCTGCTCTCGAACAAACCTTGACAACTGCAGCTTCAAATTGTTCAACAGTTTACAAAATCTTATTAGCAGAAGATAATCACGTCAATCAAAAGGTTGCAACGAAGTTATTAGACATGGGAGGACATAAAGTTGAAGTGGTAGATAATGGAGCAAGAGCAGTTGAGGCTGCAACCAAAAACACTTATGATCTTGTTTTGATGGATGTATCGATGCCGACGATGTGAGTAGTGTTGTGATTACAGACATATATTTCTTTGCTGATGTGTTATGATCTTTCTTTGTCCGGCTTTGTTATAGGGGTGGATTGGAGGCTACTTCTTTGATTCGGAGACATGAAGAGGAACATCATCTGGAACGAGTACCTATCATTGCGCTTACTGCTCATGCGATGTACGTAAGATTTCATCATCAATGGAGCCATGTCACCACAGAGAACTCATCTTGTTTTTTCCATAATTAGGATTGGTGATCGTGAAAGATGTATTGATGCCGGAATGGGTGAGAAAGCATTTTTTGTTATTGAGAGAGATGAGTTTGATTATTGACAATGTCTTTTTTTGAATTTGTAGATGAGTATGTTACCAAACCTTTGAGGAAAGCAGATCTGGATGCATCTATGAGTCGGTAAGTGTGACCTGGAAAAGTTTTGTCTTGAGCGTTCCTCAAAGATTAATTTGTGCATTTTTTTTGAACTTGCAGATGTGTAGCTATTGCTAGAGCGAATCGACAAACAGATGTAGGAAATTTTAGATATCTGCCTGATTATAAAGGAGTAATTGACTCGATACTAGTTGAAGAACCTCAAATCTCATCATTCTCATCTTGATCAAGAAGAAAAACTTTTTTCCATTTCTATTTATCGAGTTTCTTTTTTTTCGTAAGAAACTTGTTGTATGTTTGACATTTCATAAAAAAATCTTTCAAGGAGAGGAGAGGAATCAAATAGATTTTGATAGAAACTAAAAGAAATCATGTTTTTTTTTCTTCTTTGTCTATTGTTTTAGCATTTGTGTTTTTTGCTTTTGTTTTATTCATATGATTTTTCATTTTCTTCATTTTTTCACCTGATACATAAACGTGATCTGTAGTAGAACTTTTTACTTTTTTTTGACTTCTTTTCTATCAATCCATCAATTTTGAACTTTTAACTCTTCTATTCCTATTCTTCTCCTGTCTTTTCTTTATTGATTTCCATCATCTAGCATATATATATATATATATATTGGATTCTTTTTTATTTTATTCATCTTTTTTTTTCAATTGTTGTGCTCTTTTCTGTAACTTTTTTTTATTGTGGTTTGTTGTATTGGTTTCTTTTTGTAAGTCTCTTTTTGAAGTAATTTTATTTGTTTCTCTTAAATTCTGGCAATGAATTCAATCTTTTTTTCCGATACTTTTTTGTGTCTTTTGCCTTTTTTGCTCACACAGTACAGCTTCTAGATGATAGGTTGTGTGTGACTGTATGATTTTTCTTTTTCTGTAAGAGGTATTGAAGGATTCGTTGGTACCACAAAACAGAATAGAGGCCCCAGTTCATTTGGCATCTGCACTGCATTTTAAGTCCATAGCTAGGAACACCTGGGCACCCACATATACTATATCTTGTGTCATTTAAGCTACAAATTCTGACATGTCAATTGAATGCAGTCATTCGAGAAACAAAAGCAAATTGAAAGGTGATAAGAAATTTATGCAAGATATCAGAGAAAAAGTCTTGCTGACTGGAAACACAACTGAATCAAGGAAGGCTCAAACAAGATACAAAGTTTAATATGATTGCTATATCCAAAAGATGTTGTATTTGAACTTTGCTAGAAATGAGTTTAATACTTGAGTATATTGAAGGTAAGACGGTAAGATATTGAAATATTTTTGTGTAGTTTAAGATAATCAATCTACAACTACTTCACTGATTTTGATCATAGATTTGATCTTCTCTGGAGTTAAATGATAAACTTCATCAATCAATGCTGCCCGCTGTTCAATTGTTCATGAGATCAAAACCGGTTAGCAAACTGCATTTTATAAACATAAATTGTGATTAAATTGGTACTCACAAATGAGTTTGGTCCGGTCACATTTGAATGTGAGATTGCCAATTCAGCAGCGATCTAAAAAGTTCAAGTGGTCTTAATATTCTCGTACTTCGAATAAAATGATTTTTGATACTTACATTAACAGATGAAACTCCACAGATTGCTGCGTCTAACATTCTTGTTTCGAAATCGATTAGGTTTGTAAAAGGTACAGCTAATTTACCTTTCCTCATGGCATTTGTAATGGATGCAAAACATCCAATAGCAGTACCTAGAAAAACCCAAAACCAGAGAAGGATAAGGAGATAGGAAGGGTGGATTTCCTCAGGAGATGTAACAAGTTATGAAGATCGAGTGAAGTAATGAAAAAGATTACTTACCTACCATACAACCACTACCGGTGATGGATGCTAACATTTTAACACCATTTTCAAGTTTGATGACATGCATCCCATCTGAAACATAGTCAACCTTTCCGGTCATTATCACCACACAACCTAATCACAAAAAAGACGATGATTAAGTACAATTTGTTCGAGGACTCAAGATCAAAAACAAGAACTAAACCTACGTTCTTTTCGGGCTAAGTCCCTTACCACTCGAGCTGGATCAGGTAAAGATCCTTTGGAATCTACACCATGTGAACTTGCTGCACTATGGTTTGCTAAAGAAGCTATTTCGCCTTCGTTTCCTTTAATGTAACTCATCTGAACATAATTCAATAGTTCTACATAGTTTGAGCCGATGCGAAAAGTTGAAGAACAACCATATCAAGATTGATGGGGTTAGCATCGATAGTAAACTTTGTTCGAAAGGTATCAATGAATCCGATTCTTGATCAAACATACCATCTGTGACTTTTTGACGAAACTGACTTGCTCCAACTCCCACAGGATCAAAGACGACAGGTTTGTAAGCCAAGTTGGCTTGACGTCCTGCCAATTTCATGGCCATGATTTGAGTTTGATCTAAAGTACCTAGATTGATGACCAAACTATCTGAACAGGTTTCGACTAATTCTTCGACTTCTTCTATACTTGATGACATCATTGGAGAACATCTTAAGGCTAATGTGAGATTTGCACAATCGTTTTGGACAACTGTATTGGTGATATGATGAATGAGTTGTCGACAATCATGTGCACATTTGAAGGCGATCACTGATGATAAGTATTCAGAGTATGAGTCTGTTCCTTGTGATGAAAGGATTGAAGGTTTTGATTGACGGCTTGAAAAAGATTCAAGTGCGATGTTATGTTTATCAAGGGTTTGTCGAAGTCTTCGAGCTTCTACTTGAGGTTGATCGGATGACATGATTGCTGAAACTACGGCGATTCCTTCGATTGGATCGAGAGCTCCTGATGGTGCGGTAGAGACACATCCGTATAGAGTTCGAGTGACGTTTTCCCACTTGATCCCACCTGCGATCCAACGAAATTCACAAGAGTTGAAAGTGAGATGAGATTGAAGAAAATATTGATTTTCATGAGGTTTATTTAGAATCGAATACATATATTAGTTCAGGATGACTATAAAACTCGCTAGAAAAGAAGCAGGTCGTACCAATAGTGACTGCCGGGATCTTGAGCCCTCGTAGAGTTAATTCGTCTCGAATCTTTTTAACTCCTCTTGGACCTGTCGAACGGGTATCGAAAAAAGTCATCAGCGTCTTATAGTCGAACCGATCAAGTGTAGCTTCTTGATGATAATGCTCACCTATGATCTTGTGGTCCGGAATGACTTTAGTGCCCGTAGGCCAACATGTTCCAATACCAAGATAATCAGCTTTTCGTTCTACTGCATCGATAGCTTCTTCAATCGTATTAGTACTAATCCCGATCACGGCATTTGGACCTAACCACTTTCTTGCTTCTTCAATCGGCATATCATCTTGACCAAGATGAACTCCATCTGCATCAGAAGCAAGTGCAATATCGATTCGATCATTAACAATAAAAGTGACTTTTGGAATAGCTTGATGACAAATGTTTCGAAGTGAAATGGCTAATTTTAAAAATTCTCGAGTTCCAAGTTCTTTTTCCCTTAATTGAACTATTGTAACACCTCCTAAGATTGCAGATTGAACGGTTGATTCGATTGTCGAACCTGGAGCTAGATTATCGGATGAAGTCACAAGATAAAGTGTTAAATCTAATTGAGGTCTTGTCTTTTGCTTTGACATGTCTAAAATTTTAAGGATTGAACGAAATAGATCTGATACAAAATATTTGACGGTATAAATTACTCTTGACTGGAGCTTTATATGAACTCAGGAAATTTTAAAACCTTGATCAAATCTCGAGCTTGATCGACTTTTAGAGAGGAAGCTCGTAGCCATGTGAAACCATTGTCTTCCATCTAACTTCACCACCACTCCAAAAGTTATAAGTAGCTCCGCATCATACGCACCTGACTTGTCACTGGCACTTGTGACAAGGTTGCCCCTGATCTTGCGGATAGAGGTTTTGGATATTTTGATTGTAAAAGTGATTGGTCCAGACCTTAGAATCATTCATGTACTTTGGCATATCAATCCCCCGTGATTTCATAAGGCAAGCCCTCCCCTAATTACCGGTTTTTAAGCAATTCTTCAGCTTATATTCCTTTTTTGAATCCGTAAAGTCATCACGATCTCACTCCAAAATCTTTAGGTCAGTCTATCTTGGACTTCTAGAATCTTGGATCAAGATCTGTGGTGGATCTCCAACATTGGAATTACTTTTGATATAAGTTCTTATCTGTGGTTTTCTTATTCCCAAGAGCTACTTTTGTGTAGCAAGCTCATGGAAGGGCTTCAATGCCCCAAATCAAAAGCTGTGTTTCATAAGATCCCTTCCTCCAACCCTGTGCCAGCAACGCAACGCGCCGCAGCACATCCGTTTTTGGATGCGTTGCTCCGCAACACGCAACACCAACAAGCAACAGACGCTGCGTTGCGGGAAGTACCGCAACAACAAAAGTCAAGGCTAGGCTGCGCGGCGCCTCAACAGTTGCGCAATGCAACAGGCGCAACAGCGCCAAAAAAACGTCAATTTGTAAGTTTTTGGGGGCAGCAACACAACAAACGTTGTTGTGCCCCCAAAAAAACACCAATCTGAGCGATCTTGTTGCACTGCGGGTCAGGCCGCAACCTTAAAATTGATTCTACGGTGCGGTGCGGTCAGAAAAACCGCAACGCAACCACAGCGCAGCACGCAACACCTGCGTTGCTGGCCCAGGGTTGGTTCCTCTGCCTAAGTTGACAAAACCCCTTCTCCAAGCCCAAGAGGGTGAGGGTCCCCCGGGTATGGTGGGTGGTGTGATAAGATTACCCCTCTGCTGATTTGCACATGTTCAATTTGGCTTGAAAAGTTGATGTGTTCACAAGTACAATACTTGATGTTACAATACTCTTTTTTCGATTGCTTGATTTAATTACTTGAGGAAGTGGGCACAGGGAAATCCTCTTGATCCAGAAATTATGTAGGTGAAGGTATTGGTGTTGTCCAAAGAGAGGGCTTTTTGATACTGCTTGTAGGTCTATTGATCCTTGGGGTTTAGGATGTATCATAGAGGGGAAATGATGGGGGAAAGTTATATAAAGAGTTGAGCTTTAGGAAGTACGTACGGAGTGTTCTCAGCAATGTATGAAGAACACGATTCAAGTAAAGTGATGTACCTGATTGTACAAGAAACAACAAGGTAAGAATGCTTGAAGAAAAGAGATACAATAGAGAGGAAATTATTTAGTCTTATATGGCGGAGATCTCATATAGCCTTGGTACAAGAAATGGGTTGCAGAAGGAAGCCAAAGTAGACAACATCATAAAAGTAATTAATTATGATTTCATAGCTATAAGAGGAAAAATTAAGTATCTTTATAAGCTAGACCAGAGCTTACCTCAAGTAGTGTGTAGGGTCAGATTTTTCTGTTGACATCTTGCCACATTTGAGGACAAAGTCAATATAAAGTATGAGTTTGATCAAATGATATCTGCTTATTTATCCTACTCTTTGCTGTTGACAAACAAATTCAAGCTTGGTGCATACAGTTGCCAGATTGACAATTGATGTTCAGACCCAGCCTTTAATGCCAGCCTTCATTCCAAGAGGTGACAGTGTGACCAAAATGTTTCACATCCTTTGTCCAAGCAGTTACAAGATTTTCCTTGTGGATCACCCAGGTACTCTTGATGTAATTGAAAGGTGTCAGCTTGAGACTCAAAGCAAGTGGAAATTTGTAGTACATGGATCTAAATGATACTTACAAAATGTATCTTTTTGGGCTTAGAATATTATTCTAAACTAGAGGGAAGTTATTTTTGGTCCTTTGTAAGTAAACTTTAGAACTATAATTGTTGCTTATAATTGTCTGTGGTGCGGAATATGAACTGCTGCCAGTGGGTTAGTAAATTGCAATCACTTATACAACCTGCCAAGGTGAATATGCACTAAGGTAAAATGATCCTGGGTGACACTTTAGCTTTGAGAAATGTTAGTCAGATAGCTCAAGCTAAACAATTTGTAACATCCTGGGAGTAGGAGGTAAATTAACAGGGAAAAAGGGTCTGGACAATAACAATAGTCAAAGCTAAAGGAAATCTAATACATAGGCTCAGAGTTTCTAAAGTGTAACAAGTAATTTTTCAAGCAGATGTGGAAACAGGTGGCATTTGATCTTTTAACAGGAAAAGGCAAATGTGAATATTGGTTGATGTCATAACAGGATAAGGGGAACTTTGTTCTTTCTTGTTAATGGGATGGCTTTAACTGATAACCTTGTTTTGATCATGGTGGTGCCAGTGGGTTATTATAGTTGCTCAGGGTAGTTTATTTCATTATAGTTAAATCTGGACTGGTCCCTGGTTTCACTGCATGGAAGGTTTGTTAATACTTGTTATACCTGGTCAGGGTTTTGTTTGACAGCTCCTTGGCTGTGTGATGCGGATTTTAGTAGTTACCATCCTAATTGGTAACTTGGCTGGTTTAGGATAAGCAGATGTGGTATTTATTGATTATTATGTCATTTCTAATATAGGGGTATGTTTCTCAATCAGGAGAAAATTTGTCCTGATGATCATACTAATATTACACTCTTGAAACTGAGTGGTAGAGTTGTAGGTATTACTTTTGCATGTTCTTTTTACTGTTTATTAAATATGTAAATTTTAGTGTTGGATTGTTTTGTCAATAAAATATAAGTTTTTGCACAGCAAAAACCAAAACCTTTTCCGGTTGACAAAAGGAGTTGCACCCATATTGGTTTGAAGAGCCTCAAACTGTGCTTCAAAATCTTCAGAAGAGACCAAGTTGCAAATTTCCTGCCAGCTGTTTTGGAATGTTTTCCATTTTCTGTCTGTTACTGTCATCTTGATGTCGGCTTGGAGATTATTCTTGATATGCCACTTGCAGAGCATATTCTTAGCATATGGCAGAGTTTCCTTCAGGGCATCAATCAAGGAAAGTTCTCAATCAGTCACAACAGCCTGTAGATCTGAAAGCTTGGACCCAAAGCAGAGCTTCATCTGCTTCCAAACCCATTGATAGTTCACTTTGGTTTCTTGTTGCATTAAACCAAAGCATAAAGAGGTAGACTGACAGGTTTGTGAAACTCCCATGATGTAGCGGATGGGCATTTGAAACACGAACCACAAAAATCAGTTGGTCTCAACTCTGGTTGAACATGATTTTCATCAAAGCATCTCGCCAATTGGTTTTGTAAGTTGTATCCATCAGTAGTACATCAGAATTCTAGAAGTCCAAAGCCAACTTCACACTAGCTTTTGGGGCAACAAAGAGATGTAGTAGTCTGTGATTAGAATCCAGTTCATAGGTATGGAATACATCATTCACCTGTTTATCAAAGCTTCAAGCGGAGTGTGTCCATTGAGGTCCAAAATCTTTTGTTTTTTGATCGAATTTTAGATGTCTTGACGGGTTGAGAAGTTAGTGGGATTGGAAGCCTTCAAGCTGCGTAAAATGAGTTGTGGAGGACCCAATCTTGCACTGGTGTGTGATTTATTTGTGTCAAATTGTAGCAGACTGACTGCATCACGGAGGCTGAGTTGAGGTGGATTGAACTGCACTGATGACTTGCTGAGGTGTTCCACAATGAGAACAGGAAAAGACTCGTCTCTTTGCTCTTTTGTGTTTATCAGAACAGGTATGGGTGATTTTCAGCCATCAGCCTAATCCTTTGGCATAGTTCTGCAGTGCATCTTCAGCTTGTTGTGAGGATGGGTATATCATTTCATCAAGATTAATTTTGAGGTGTGATGTGTTGTTAGTTGGTGACAAGGTTGTTGGGTCGTGATCTGTGAAGTTGGATGATATGGAGCTAGGAAATAGTTTGCATAAAGGCAAAGCTTTTTGAGTGAACTTCAAAATTCTCAGTGCTGAGAGTGTGGTTCAGCCTGGCATACTGTCACAACTTGTGTCAACAGCAACTAAACCTTTCACTGGGGTTGAATAAGAGGGGGCTGTGGATACCAGGATCCTTTCAAATTTGTTGTTTCATTCATTTACTTTGAAATCACTGTAAGGACCATTTTTTGATACCTAATCTGTTGGTCTTGAAGGAGGAAGGCCCTAGTTAAGCTGTCTTTGGTCAAAGTTAAGATGACTGCTACCAGAAGGAGATGGCTGGGCCAGCTTCAATAATGAAAGACTCCATAAGACTTTATCTTCAAGCAAGAAAAGTTCAGAGGAGAAGCTGCTACTGAAAACAAACAGACAACAAAACACTGACTGCACCCCTTCTTCAAAGGTGTATTCAGAAATTGAAAACCTCTCAATATTGAAGGTGTATCAACAAAGGTGACTCAGTGTCAAAATGCTATTTGAAGTGGAGTAGAACTCTTCCAAACTCTTTTGAAACTCTTTGTGTTCACACTGATGTGCTACACAAAAACAGACATGGTGCAAGGGTGGTCATTTAATTATAAGGGTGTTGATATTAAAATATGAGGCTGAACTCAAAGATGATAGTATTGATTATGAGACTCTTGGCTTATTGTCATCATATATCTTTTATATGAGATCAGGATAGGCTGAAGAGGTTTTGTGCTCAAAGTAGAATTTTGGGCAATCAACAATTTGACAATCTCTATGTGTATATGAAAAGTTATTGATCAAAACAACCTTCAACTGTTCATGATGTATTTTATTGTAACCCCTGCCAGATAAATGATTTCAAGTCATAAATGAAATTGAATTGAAGACTGTAAATTGTTGTTTCTAAATGCTTGCTCTTTTAACTTATTCACAATCACATATGAAATTCATTATCATCAGAAATAGAACATAAAGAAATATAGAAGAAACTTGAACTTGAGAAACTCAAAAACTTTTGCTCAAAAAAAATCAAAGCACACTCAACCAATTTGAGAAAAAGGAACCAAAAAGAAGATCTAAAAAAGGTCGAATAAATAAATAAATAAATAAAACACACAAAGTAATGTTTTCAAATAGAAGGTTTAACTAAAACTTCTTTAATCACTTCAACCAATTTCATTCCAGCTTCTTCAACTTCATTTTCAGTAAGTTCAGCTGATAAACAAATCCTAATAGAAGGTAGCATAGGATCAATCTCTTGTTCCCAAACTTTTTTAGTACGAGTGATTAGAATCGATTTATCTTTGATAGATTTATCTACAATAGATTGTAATAAATCTTCTTGTTCTTCAAATGAAGATAAATCTTCTTTTGAAATTAAATCAACTTGATTTTGATTTGATTTAGGTTTCCAATTAGATGATAATGATGAATTTAATTTTTCGTTTTCTTGTTCATCATGTTCAATTGATTTTAAATTAAAATGTAACATTGGTGAATCTGGATGTGATGGGATCCTTATTAATGGTGTTGAAGATCCTTCAGTTGAAATCGAACTTAATGAATCTCTAAAAATTGAGATATTTTTTCTCAATCTTCTCATTCTTTCTTCTCCATCTTCTTCTGATAAAATTTTGATTGTTTCAGATGCTGCTGAGGCCAATAAAGGTGGTAATGCTGCTGAGAACACTAAGGCAGCTGAATTGATACGTTGGTGGGCTACTACTTCATTAGAACCCGCACAGAATCCTCCTCCAGAATTGAAACTCGTGGCTAGTGACCCGATTAAGATATCCACTGAGGTAGCCTATCAAATTTGACATCTATCAGATTCTGGATTCTTTAAGTTAGATGACGCGATTTGAAGAAAACGTACAGGGACTCCAAAGTACTCGGTAAGACCACGACCAGTCTTTCCGATGCTTCCGACCGACCAAGTCTCATCCAGGATCAACCTGAACTTGTACTTTTCCTTCAGCTTGATCTAAAACACAAAACAAAGATCAGTAAAATGGTCGAAACTATAATTGTTAAGAATTAACAGAAGAAAAAAGACTCAAACGATGTTAGGTAGATCACACAGTTGACCATCAGATTCAAAAAGACCTTCAGTAATAATGAATTTCCTACTTAATTTCCTTCTAAATTTAATTTCTTCTAATTTAAGTTGTTCTAAAACTTTTTCTAAACTGCTTGAATCATTATGATCATACCAACGGATGGTAGAACGAGAGATTTGAATACCTTTTTGAATTGAAAAGTTTACACCGCGATCTACTACTATTATATCACCTCTTTTACTAAACGATGGGATTACTGATGAAGTAGTTGAGAAACCTTGGGCGTAAATGATTGAGGACTGTAATCCGATGAATCTAGCTATGTCTTGTTCTAATTCCATATGAACATCTAAAGAAGTATTTGATTGAGAATCAGTTGATCGTTCTTAATTCGAATCTGATTTGATCAAAAAAGAAGATCGCAAACAAACCAAAAGTTCCATAAAATCCAGGAGGACCACAAGATCCAACACCCGATCTTCTGAGTTGTTCAATCGCCTTACGTTTAACTTGTTCATTACCAATCAAACCAGCAAAGTTCACACTAGCAAGATTCAAAACTACTTTAATATCTTTTGGGTCTATACTATCTTCGTTTTCTGGACTTTGGATAAACCTTTCGGCTGCTTCTCCATAAATTATTTTAGGTTTAGTTATGGGTGGACCTATTATTATTGGTGGTCTTGAAAGGGCTTGGGTTGATCTTAAGGGTGGATCTACTAATGGTTCTGGTTTCCACTCCAATACCAATTCATCGATTTCCTGAACCAAAAAGAAACCCAAAAATCAATCCAAAGGTAATCAAAGGAAAAGAAAGAGAAATCAGACCCACCTTTTGAGTCAATTTGACAAAGTTTTTACCGGTCCCTACATCACCTCTAGTTCTAGATTGTCTCCAAGTTCTAATAACAAAAAAGATTAATAAGATTTCAAGTAAAGTACGAAATGGATCGTTTTGATGAGATGACTTGATATAACGCAATAAGATTTCAGAACCAGGTAAGTATCTAATTAGTTTTAAAGTGTTAGATGATATTGAGTAGATTGCATTTAAGTAAGGTGCTAGTTCTGATTGATTGGTTGGTGATGACATTCTTTCTTTCTTTCTTTCTTTCTTTCGTTTGAGAGGATTGGATGGTAATCAGATTCAAATGGTAATCAAGAAGGATTCTCAATCGATCTGCGCTAAGGTTTAAAATTTAAAAAATTAACCTTAGAACCCGAGTGTGATCATCACCCAAGCTGCCGCAGGCACGCCCGCCCCATCGACTCCCTCAACTTATCACAACTCTCAATTCTCGCAGGGCATTTTCAACCTTTGCAAGCTCACTCATTGCCCTGGAGAGTGACTTGCAACTGATCAGCTAGTTTTGGTGTGCAAGCAGGTTCTACAGTCTTGCATCTTCTGTAGTTGATATGATACGTAATTTCTGCGGAGGACAAAAGCTTCAAAACATCAAGATGTACAACTTTGAATTTTGAAAGAAGTTCATCAATCAATTACAACTGTCCCAAGAATGGTTCATTGGGCTCAACAGCACAGCAGACAAAATGACTGTAACTGGCCAGTTTTCTGAATCAACTTGACTGCACCTGATGTGTGCAGTGCCACAGCCTGACTATGCCAAATCCTAGTGACTGGTGAGAAAAGGTTGTTCTTGCAGCTAGCCATGAAAGCCAACAACAATGATAAAGGATTTAGCAGATGTATTTCAAAAGATCTAACATGGATGGTCACAATGATGCATGATCTTCATGGACGGAGCCTCTGCCTTCCATATTGCTCAACCTTGTGAAAAGAAAAAACTCAATAAAACCAACAGTATGAGTTCTGCATGGGAGAGAATTTCTGAGAAAATAAATCAACCTTTCTTGGAACTGCTGTACAGCCAATTTGAAAATGATTAACCACTTTTTTTTGAAGAAAGTTGCTGCCACAGGGGGTCAAAAACCAACCAACAAAGGTTGTTATAGGGTTTGTGTTCTCTACATCCTCAAAATTAACAGAGAAACAAAACTCAGTCAAAAGGAAGACCAGGTTTTTCACCATGGATGATGCACTTTTCAAAAAAAAACAATCATTCTCAAGTTGGCAATATGAATCATCTTGCAAGAGAAAGAAGAATGTGTTACTTAGATCCTTTGTACAGCTATTTCAAGAAAGATTGACAATTTTTTTTGAAGAAAGTCATTGCCACAGCAAACAAAAGCAGAAAAAAGTCTTGTTTAACGGTTTTATCCTTTCTGTTTTCTCCAAATTACCAGGAAACAACACCAAGTGAGAGAAAAACCCTAGGTTTTGCACTGTGACGAGATTTTCAAAAACAATCCATCTTTGTTGAAACAGCTGGAAATCTTGTTCTAATGATACAGACACCAAATTTCAACTCTCAAGATCTTTCTTTCTTTCTTGCTGGAGAGAGCTCAGAGTGAGATCCAATAAATTAGGCAGATTTGAAGGGAATGGAAACAGGTAGCTCCAGCTGAAATGAGCACGGGGCAGTGTCTGACTAGATCAACTTAGTTAGGTTAGATCAACTCTCATGTAAATTCAGCTCATGTGGATCAAGATGTGTAGGCAAACTTCTGACTCCACTCACTGGAACACAGAGCAAACTGATTTTGTTCCAGTGAGTGGACTCAGTCAAGTTTGATGTGTAGTGCAAGGCAACTTTGCACTCGTCAAGGAATATGATTACTTTGAAAACATCAAGAATCCTATAGCTATGTTTAGATCTGGTGGACTTCATGCACATGGAATGTTGCCTTTCAATGTAGGTTTCAAATTCCTCAAGTACATCTTTGACCTTAAGCATCCATTTTGAAAACAAAGCCTAACGATCAAAACACAGTAAATGATGGTGATATTGAAATATTTACAAGATGGCAAGAGTCAGTATAAACTATTACTGACAGTACTTTTTAAGTCACCTAGAATAGTCACAGTATACAAATCATACAATCAAATGATCAGTCAACTACAAGACATGCACCGATGAATGCCTGAATTGCCAATATTTCAAAAATTGTGCCATAGCATTTGAGCTATTTGACCAGTCAGTATGAATATTGAAATCTATTCTTGGCAGGTCTTTTGCAGGCCACAAAGAGCCTCCTATGTAGAAAAATGACTAATACAATATTGATAAGTAGCAAAGCAAGTCAAAAGGCATGTGCTTTATAGAGATCACAAAAAGCCAGTGATGGCAACACCAAAACAAATGACAGCATTGAAATGTTGAATGACAGACAATCCAAAACTCCACAATGTAGCATGCATCAATAATCAAGCAATAAAACAAAAAAGAATTGGTTGCAAGGTAAAATAATTCCTCAGGGTTCCAAAAGCACAACAACTCCCATAAATTTCACTGAACTTACCCTAAATAGACCAAAGTGTTGGATTTGATCTCTGATAAAGAACTGAGTCAAAATACCACAATGTGATTTTCCCCCAACACTTCTCTTCGTCCATGTATCACCACTCAAACCAATTAACTCTTACTATAGAAAAACAATTCTGTCCATCCAATTCCTACCCACCCCTGTGACCTACCATTGCAGAGAACCTGCTATATCTGGTACTATGTAGTCTACCGCTCAAATCCCACCATCAAACACATTAATATACAAATCCACACAAGTATAGTAATAGTGGATGTGCTTTGCTTTCTCTCTTGTCACAATTGTTCGTTTGTTTGTTTCAGTAGCTTCATACTAAGTTTGTACTCCTCTCTGCAAGTTTGAGACAATACTGTGTCATACAGCCATGCGGTGTTGTGATCTCAAAAAATATATCTCTAGCTCAATTGTTATCACTAGACCTCAATCTCACAGCAATGTTGTGTTCAATCTTTCTTCATTGTTCCCTACAATCAAAACATACTTCTCAATCTCCAACTCCAACTCACAATCATTTCTACCTACATATAATAAAGGAAAATGGTTTAAGGAAAAAAAGAGGATATCACCCCTCTATGTAGAGCCTGAATCCAATTTGGAACCACACTTGACCATTTGGGTGACCCCACATCATCTCATTGCATGTCTCATGCATACCTTGCACTTTTCACCCCTCATGTAAAATCTTCTAATTTTTTTTGAAAGGTTTCAAACAAGCAATTCATAAAAATTCTCTTCTAGAGGTTTTCCATTTTGCTATCTTATTGGGTTGTGCATGAGTGTCAAGAACAAGAAAAAGATGTTCAAAATGAGTGATTCTTAAACATGGAAATCCTGATATCTTCATTTGAAATTTCCTATTTAAAAAAACATCAAGTCTATCAATGCTCTTGCTTAAACTTGTGGGGCGGCTGGGCGCCAAATTACCTAGTATTCTATATAAATTACAATACATGAGTCACATTTCATTCAACCTGTTTTAATAAAGAACAAGTGAAACATAAAAACCTGCATAGAAATGATTGGATAGAGTAAATAAGCAATACATGAATCATACCCCATAAAAGAACCAAAAAGAGAAAGATGACTAGGTTTTACATTCTAACAATCTCTTCCTTAGATCATAATACAGTAGTTAAAGCTTTTACACCAAAACTAATAAAACTCCCCATGGCTAAACCAGATGTAAGATAAAGGGACATGCAAGTTGCAGCAACCTACCAATCCAATAAAGTAACCAGAATCTTTAGTCTTTTATATCTTTTCTACTGAAACCTGAGGGAAGATACATAGATCTTACCGCTATTTCTTCCGGTTCGAGACTTGGTTCTGCTACTCCTGCAATCATTAAGAGAGTTGAAGTATAACCATTAGAAATCGCAAATAGAGAAAGAATCAAAAAATAAGCTACAAAAAAAGTAGAGGGAAAGATCAGTTTTACAAGTCAAAACCTGTGGTAATAAGAAAAAATAACATACCGAAATCGCTTCTGAATAGAACAACAGAGCTATTCTCTACATTACAAAGCAAGAATAAAGGAACAAAGATAATCCTAGAAAAACTCATAGCATATAAAACTTTTTTCTTTTTAATCAAAGCAAACGAAAAGTTTGACCAAATTTGAGGAATAATTCTACCTAACCAATCACCACAATTAAAACATAAAAAATGTAATGGTATAAAGATCAATGGATGTTTCCAATTTTTCAAAAATGTGGAAGTTGAGGTTGGATTGATTTGGTTTGAGTTGATTGAAATTATTGAGCCTGTTATTGAAGGAAAAACTGCTAAGGTTACGAAGAATACCCAGAATACACTTAAACCTAGTGATCTGATTTTAGGTTCTACTGTGCGGAGATTGACGGGTCTGATTGGAGTTGATGTAAAAGGTTCTTCGGTTGAATATTCATTGGATTGGAGTAATTGATCCGTTGATCTTTCTCCTTCTATTGATAATCTTTGTGAGCTTGATATGATTTTTTTCTTGTTACTTCTCATCACTAGTTTATAGAATGGTAAACTACATAACATCGTAAATGATAGTAGAGCAAACACACAAAAGATTGTGCTACCAATGTAGAAAGTAAAAGAGCTATTCCTAATTTGATCTTGACTGATATGAATAATTGGAGTTAATTGATCTTCAGAATTCTTGATGTCAGTTGGTCCTAAATCGTTTTGCGGTGTTGATTCAAATTCTCGTAAAGATGCTAAAAGTTGTAGTAAGCTTACAATCGCTCCATTCGCTCCTTGTCCTGATAAAATACCTTGAAGATAGTCAGGTCCAAACCAAGAAGAGATTGCGATGACTGAGTTTTGGAGCGTTGCTGAACCAAAAGCTTCTAAGAGTGTGATGGTCATTAAGAAAGTGAAGAACGTGTGAGGTCCAACTTTTTCGAATCTTGTAGAACATAGTAATGCTAAAGATATAATGATAATCACGATAAGTGAGAAGAAAATCCTTCTAGTGTGACTTGACTACAAACATAATAATACATTTCAGTGAGATTGTGACTAGGAGGTAAAGAAAGATCTTGGACGTACAGTTGTTTGTTTAAGTGTAGCATGAATGAGAAACGAGACATTGAAGAATGTAAAGACTACAGCTACCCAATTCATATAACTGAATTCAAATTCGCTTCCCACCAAGTTGGATCCAAAATAAGTTGTTGATACCAAGAGCGAATTCCATGGTAAGAGGATACAAGCACCGAGAATGAAGAAGCAAAGGTAACTTAATGTCTTCTGGAATTGGCTGACATCTTTGTGCGGATTGAAAGAGGTTGAAGGTTCATGTTCAGATTGTTGATCTGTAGGTTCCATTTCAGTTTCCTCTTCGTCAATAGCCAAATTCGTTGAATGAAATGTAATATGTGATGAACTCGATGTAGATTCGGCCGGGAGTTCGGGATTTCAAGCGTCCTCTTTACCCAAAGGTTGTTGACTGGACAGTTATATAAATCGAAGTGGCTTGAGCACTTGGTTGGTTAGGTGAAAGTGTTGTTGATAAGGTTTTGACTGGAATGGGAAATGGAAGGCTGAGCTTCCTAGGAATTGTAAGCTTGGGCTAAATCCATTCATCTCGAAAGAAATCATCGAAGTATAGTGATCCTGATCATCAAAGTGGGCTTGTGCCACTCACACTGGGCCCGTTATTATGAATGTATTGGATAGCTTCGTAGGCCTAAATCGCAAGTCAAAGTATCTGTGGGTTTGATCATGATGACTTTAGCCAACTGGTGCCCCTGAGTCTCAAGGTATATGAGCAGAAGGTGAGAAAGATAGATGGAAATGGCTAACCTTGTACCAGAATTTCAACTGTTGGACTGTCGAAGAACAAGTTGCCACCAGCTCTGAAGGCAGTGGGGAGGTTGTATGCACACTCGGGGAAAGGACCCGTGGCTCGTCAAGTGACCGGCACCGTGGGCATATAAAATATACCTTGTCAGATGACCGATCTCCCATGATCAGATCCCATGGCCATTACATTTGGCTAAACATGTGCTCAGCAAATATTCGAGATATTCGAGATATGAAAGACTTCAAAGTTGACCTTTGGCCTGTTCGAACAGTCTCCTTCATGGCTGCACTCCCGCCTGTTTATGATAAAGGAGATTGACAATCAGATTCAGGACAGCTTATGGAAACCTTGCAATTTGCATTTCAAGTTGAGAGACCCTTGCACTACACTGCACTCAAGTTTAGCAAAGAGGCAGTATCTGATCTGGGTTGGCTACTTTCAGAAATGGAATAAAATCTCAACATAGACTCTGACAAAATAAGTGTAAAGTTCTCTGAGAAATATTATGTTCCCTCATGAATCATCAAACATCCATGATTGTCATCTCGTCACTGGAGCAGGGCACAGAAGCGGGAATCTGAACAGGAAGATGTGTCAAATCATTGGCAAGAGAGTATGAAGACGATAAACCCTGATCGCGAGAAACTTCAGATGAAACTTGAAAGCGCACTTGGGTGCTGCTTCACCAGCGAGCCTGGACTTAGGTAGCATTTGCAATGGCAGTTAATATGACATGACTCTTGGCTGATTGGAGGGTCAGTATTCGAATGAAACGTAGATTTTGATGACATTTTATCTGCACTTGCGCCCAACGTCTGTTTCCAAATACAAATGAAATACATATACAACACTAAACATCACATCCAAAGAGAAACGCGTAGACAGATTTTATGTTAAGAAATTTGACTGAGGTTCAGCTATCAGTATTTTTGTCCTCAGGTGAAGACCCTATCACATCTAAATGCTTTTGAGTTTCCGTATTTTCCGTAACACATTCTACACTCACACGAGGACTAGTTCTGGTCTCATCCATCACAGAAATATGGACGAGTGAAGCAGGCGAATGCTGGTGTTGTAGGTGTTGAACATGCTTGACACAAACCACTCCTAGCGCTCTACTATCTCCTGCTTCACCCATATGTGATCCCATATAAGATAAAACAGAGTCATGTTCTACATATCCTCCTTCCCTGAGGGTAGTGAATTCGAGATGATTGGGAACAAATTCCACGTCTTCAACAATCGGATTCGGAGTCGCTTTTGAATTTAAAATCGGCCCAGTGCTTTGAATTAATCTTTGACTAAGCTTCAAATGCTCATAAACTTTGTGTTGAAGACTACACACTAGAGCAAAAAATAACCATGAGATCAACTTTAGAGCTTGGTCAATTTTCTTGTGCAGTCAATTACAAACGCTTAACCAACTTTGCCCGCAAAACTCGAGCAAGTCGGACGGGAATGTGTGGAAAGCTTTTCTGAACTGACTGCAAAATAAAAAGTGAATCTCACTTACTTGTAGAAATTCCAAAAAACCTCGTGCATAAACTCTCCAAGCTTACATTGATCACATGCAGTCTGGCAGGGTCAATGTGAAGACGAACGTCTATCACTACACAATCCCATTGATGCGGCGAAGACGAATTATTTTTCTCAGCATTCATGATTGTGATGAATCAGAGGGAAATTTAAATCACCTAGGATGGCTACTAATGTGATAGCCATGATTAAAGTAGCCAAGAGAAAGGATCTATGGAAAGATTCGAAAACATCAGTGTATAATCTCAGTACCAAAGTCCAGACAGTTTGCAATGGGAAGATCTGCATACTCGAAGACCAGTGCGATACCAAAAGAAGCCTTTCCTTCCAATGAACCAAATCGACAACGTTTGGCTGAGTTCAAAAAATTATATAGGAGCGCTGCACAAATCAAACCGTTCCATACTGCTGCTGAACCGATCCAAAGTATCTGGGAAAGATAAGACTTCCATGATATCTGATGGTTTGGATCAAAAACGGTTATCTGGTTTGTCAAGGTGTAGACGCAGTTGAGAATAACTCCTATCAGACTTGAAATAGCCAAAAATATTGATAGATACATGAATGGACGTGGATTTTTTAACATAGTGGAAGCTAGCCGAGCAAAGTATATTCTTGAGAAGGAAGCTGTGAGACTAAAAGATGTAAACCCCAATCACACGAGACTCAGAATGCGAGCGAGAACTGGGCTCTCTTCCTAAACTGAGTGTGAGACTCACTGATTGATGACTGTCAAGCTGATCAGTTGCCATTCTGGAATATAAACAGGTCCATTCTCGAGCAGTGCACGATGCGTGAAGGTTCTGAAGATCTGAAGAAACAAATATAATCACAAATAAATCAACTTATTTGGTATTCTTTGAGTTATAGGAAATCACTCAAACGAGAATCTGAAAAATCATCCCCAAGAGATTCAAAGCAAGAGTAACTGTGGCGATGAGAGCAGAAATGCACTGGGTTCGGTTGATCTGGGAGATGTAATGGACGAATTGATAGGTGAGACATCCGGCGAGCGTGCTGCAAAGAGGCTACAATGTGCTCAAGAAGAGATGAGGAAATGCAAGTCAGTTGAAATCGTTCGTGATCGTCTTCGTAAATAGCGCCAACGGACTACAGTGATGGCCAAAAAGCCGGTGATCGCCTTGGTTTGGCGGATGTAGTCTTCAGTCATAGAAATAGACATCGTGTGTTGGAATTGTACCTCGCCCACTCCTACCCTTCGACACAAGTGATGATAGCAGCGACTAGCAGCGACTCAAGTCGATGAGGCGTCAAAGTTCACCTCTTATCAGCGACAACAAGACCAGGTGATAAGATTCGATTTGCGCGCTGCTTTGACTCAGCATAGCTCAGCATGTTATAAGCAAGATCTGTGCGCCCCAGGGATGTAAACTATACAGGCATTCGTGTCTCGATTTAGTAGCCTCATGCTGATCGCCGTGAGGTTCCGAATGGCTGGGTTCAGATGAAAATGGGAAATAATAGTGAAGAGAATTAGGATACAGACATTTGCAGATGGGGCTTACTAGGGCTTACTCCTCTGAAGGCATTCTAGTGGTGCTCGGTCGATCGATCATTTAGATCGACACCGAAGCTCAATAAGGCAGAAGAAAATCTGGCCCTTGGTTGCTCGGAAGATGATGGAGCGATCTTCATATGAATTGCTCAATAATCTGCATTATTCACTCGGATTAATTTACTCAAACCAATGTTTGAGAAGACCTGCAAAATCCTTTGCACTTTGCCCAGCGTCTCGAGTGCCCAGTCAGAGCTGATAATGATCCATAATCGAAAGCTCGAGGCAGATCAAATCCTACATACCAGAGCTTCTGATAGAGGCGGACTTACGACCAATGAACTGCGAGTGTTCATGTAGAAAACTGTAGTGAATCCATCTTCTTTGCTAATAAGCTGATATATCTCAACCCGCCAATGATGAACTTTCACAGAAGAGTGCACCCAATGTGCTGCTGTTGACGCCTGTAACCTGCTTTCCAATCTTATTGGCCTGGGCATCACAGTGCCCGTGGAGAAGGCCCCCGACGTCAGGGGCCCAAAGCTCTTGCGCAAAAGTATCAAAAAAACTGTGAAATTTCTGTCCAGGCCAAATTGGAACACTGAGCCTGCCCAGATTTCCCATCCCCAGCAGCCAGACTCAGGAATTGACCTCAGGAGCACTGAGCCATCATCCAACTTCATCAACAGTGATGAGCTGCGCTGAGCGGTCCTGCCCTGATTGTATGGCCCATGCGGGATCTGTCAAGATATATGCTCAAGGCCACCACGGGGCAATGTTGCTGAATGTCCCGAATCGAATTCGGAATGACCGTAGGTAGAAACAGTGAGATCAAAAAAGTTATCTCATCAAGCCAATCCATCAACTTCATCAAATCAAATCAATCATCATTCAATTGGTTCATTACATCTTACTACTCATCATCTCATTTGGAAACCATCTGATAATCAATCAATTCAATCGATTGAGCCAAATATGATGAAGTTTGCGTGAGTTAATCTTAATCACTCCTATCATCATATCATCATAATCATCTAATACTGATCATTGAATATCTATATCATAGTTTACACATGCAATTATCGCCACCGTTCAATATCTTCCATCTCAACCAGAACCAACTATCTTGATCCGTTTAGTTAACTTTATCACTTATACTTTTACTTTCAATTCTCAATCTCAACTTGAACAAGATTGGAATTCAATCACAGCTTCAGTTCATTATTTTAAACAAGGAGATAAATTATCTAATTATGCTTTTCTATATGGATCAAAATCGGATTCAAATTCAACTTCAACTTCAGATTCAAATCTCATTCATTGGGTTGGAATCTTCATGATCTGATTTGTGAATTCACTAGGATGAATTCCCTAGGTGACCAAAAGGCTTGGAGAATCACTTCAATAAACAATTACTTTAGTGTAAGTCTTTTATTCAAAAAAATGAACCTGGCCTCGAAATCTAGGTTTGAAAATGCTGATTGTTTACCTTCATTTGTTGGTTCGGATTTGTAGTTCTGTTCAACCTATCCGCAATTATTACTGGTGCCAGCGAAGCTCAGTGACACTACATTATCATATGCAGTCAAATATTAAAGTAAAGGTCGACTACCGATTGGAACTTATGTTCATTGGGTTAATGGGGTATGTCTTTCAATATCACTTCCAAGCTTCCTCCAATACACATACCTCACTCTAAATACTTTCTTGTGACACTATCAATTCATCAATCACTCAATCTAGTCGACCGATGATCAGCTTCAAAAATACAAGATTGATTCAAGACAATAAACTGATTGAAGAAACATTGGACCAAGTCATCCTATTCCGCTCACCATCTTGTCAGTAATGTTTATTCATCAACATTCCCAAATCAAAAAGCTCTTGAAAGCTTACCAATTCTCTTAACAGTCGCTTGCATGATACACAGCAATAATCTTCATCTAAAGACTTGACTCACTTCGCAGTCAAAGTCATGGCCAACACACATAGAATTTTGAACATGATTTCAAGTAAAGTTGTCACTGTGGTTGTTGATCAGAACTTTGCATCAAAGATTGTCCATTGTGTTTGTTGAACTTTCTGGGGAGTTTCCCAGCACAGTTTTCACTTATAATACTTTTCTTCTTGATTCTTGATCAACTTCACCATTTTCATAGGTTGATTACAACCTGTATACCCTCGGCTTTCTGATTTTGCTCATAATTGTGATTTCACTTTTAATTTTATTTATAATTTTTAGTTTCTTTGATTTGGTTCAATCGAAATTATCAGAATCTAATATCTCTTTACAATTTGGTTGTTCTTCAAGGATGTTTTACTCAAATCAAGTTGAGTTTCTCGCCAGTTCCTTTTTTTCAGATTAAAATTGACGTCTGTCTTTTCTTTCGTTTGAATTACATAGTTACTTTCATTCCATTATATATTACCTTCTATACTTTTCATATTAGACTGGTCAAATCAATTAAATGTCTTATGGTATACTATGATTGGGTTAAGTTGTTTACCTATCTTTTGGTAAATTTGTGAAGTTGGATAATTTTTAAAGATCAACAAATTCCTCAATCAGTTAAATGAATTTTCATTCTTCTATTAAATCTTGAAATGAGGATAGCTGACTTGTTGACTGATTTGTTCTTTTTTTGCGTAGATCTGGAGGTTTTTATAAGAAACTTTTTGAAACTTCTTATTTTAGTTCTCTGTATAATTCTCATGATTCAGTTTGGTTAATGATTATTAATTTCCTAGTGTAAGGTATGTATATACACATATCCTAGATTATATATATTCATTGGATGTTATTTCTGTTTAGTTTGATTTTCACCTTTTTTGTTTTGGGTTTTATGAGGCTTGTGTTCATAAATGATGTATACCTGTTCACATAGATTTTTATTGACGTAGAAGCGCAAGTCGTGTTTGAGCTGCTTGAAATTGAAATCACTAGAATTGAATATTTTGAAACAAAAGTCGTGTGTTTAAGGCATGGTGTTTGATGAGATGTATGTATGGACTCAGGCAGATTTGAGTTGGAGTTCAATCAAATGTTTTTCATGGCTCAATCCAAATTAACCAACCAACCAACCAACCAACCAACCAACCACCAACACTACCACTTAGAACTACCAACAAGAACAATGATCAAGTCAACTCAGTATGTGTGGTTCACAACAACAATCAAACACGTTAGGATTCTATATCTAATTAATCTGACTTCGACTTGAATCTAATCCTTTTTCAAAAATATCAAAGTCAATCATTCTTTAGTGGGATTTCACTATTTGGTGGTTCAACCAGTTCAGTCTGAAGTCAATAATCCATAATCAAACTCACAAGAAAAACGCGAAAAACAAACTAAAGCTTTAGCATTGACTTTATTCTTCTTAGATTCACCAGGAGGATTATTCAGTCATATTGATTCTGCTCCTGAGCAGTCAAAAATAGCTCTACTGATGATTCAAAGACTCGATCTTAGGTACCAACTACAAGATGTAATTCTAGAGAGTGATAATCAATTGCCACCCAAGATCGAGCCCATTGTGGAGCAACCACCAACGGGCTCTTTAACTTTTTGAGTGGGTACAAAGGCTGATCCATCAGGATTCACCATCCTTGAACGATCAGTGATGGAGTCTTGTTTGATCAAATTAGTAATGTCGAGTTCAGAATAAGTGGTACTTGCAGGGTGAGGGAGATCATCTGCTTTGTTACTATCAATGCGTGTTAAAAGCGGAGCCGTTGGGATTGGAGTAGGTTGCCAAGCTTCTGATACATCGGTAGAGGAAGCACCGAAAAGAGACACAATTTGTGCGCTGCCTCCTCCTACATATACAAAATTATTCAAATCAGGCCGGATCCTCGTAGCGATTGTGATGAACACAAATCAACGGCGGATGATACCTACCTGGTTGTTCTCGCACTTTGTGCGTCGGGATGAAAGCAGGTAAACCTGATTGTGGCTCTGTCCTAGTTTCCGTGGGTGGTGGTTGAGAAGAGGTGGTGCTGAAGCTTGCATGCTTCGGTAAATCCTTCAACTATTGGTTGAGCCATTCGAAGTTCAAACAACATAAACCAGAGGTCTGTCAATTCAAAAAGGATGTGCGCTGGAATCAAGAATGGAATCGTTTGCAAGGAGGTCTCAATGGAGATGTCGCGAGAACAAACCTGAGTCAAGTTGGTGTCCACTTCAACCTCCAACTGTTTCAAGAATCTCACCAAAGATTCCTTAGTAAACCCAATCGAGGTTGACCATGGTAAAAGACATTTGATATGAAGTAAAGCCCGACTTGTTAGCAAGACTTCATGATTACAATCAAAATCATCGAGCTTGAAAGTTCATTATTTGAGTGCAATCGAATGGATGAGCATTTTTTTGACCATGCGCTGTTTGGATTGAGTTATTGGTCAAACAGGCTGTGGTAAATCAACTCAATTGACTCAATTCTTATAATCAAGCTGGTTAGTTTTCCCAAAATTGAAAAATAGCTTCTACTCAACCTCGTAGAATAGCTGTTATTGATTTGCCTCAAAGATTGGCTGAGGAAATGGGTGAAGTTTTGGGTGATTTAGTGGGCTATTATAAAGTTGTGTTGGGACGAGTGAGCTGGCTTGCCAATAGGGAACGGTGAGGGTAACTAGCTTTTCTCAGGGCAAAGATAGTCCATAGGGAGCTTCCAGGTGTTCAGTAGGGAACACTGCACGTTCAGTCAGTAATACTGAGCGTTGAGGGCTGCTTGTCTCCTACTCTGCGTGAGCCTTGACTCAGACTGATGAAGTTCAGCTGAGGTGATGTTCATGCAATCTTTGCCCTTTGTGTACATTTGTAGACCTTTGTGACACAAAAATCACACAAACGCAACACACTTGCGAAGACTGTTGGGCCCCCGACGTCGGGGGCCTTCTCCACGGGCACTGTGCATAGAGCGTAACATCAAGAATCACAATTACCTGACAGCCCAAAAAACTAGAAAACAGTCCTGAATTTGAACACTCCACCCGGGTTTCTACTTCTCACTCAACTTACTGTTTTCACACTGATGTGTTAATATTTTGCTTGATATGCGGAGTACTTCATACTCAAAGCTAACACTTGGCTTCACTATTTCTTATTGATTCTCATAGTACCCTATTTTACATTTGAACCATCATTGTTTGTGTCTCGTGGAATACAAGCCACTGAGGTGCAGTACCCAAGATCTTTCGAATATGAATTTATCCTCAACTTGCAAATATCCTGATCAAGGGGATCATGTTTATGTGACTAAGAAGTCATGATATTGCCCCAAGTTGGGCACACCTTACGAAAATCTGCATGTTTTTGATTTATTGAGATGCCATGGCAGTGTCCGTATCACTGACCTAAGTGACGTGACAGCGCATTAAGTTATCGGCAACAACATCGGCAAATGATACAAAAATACCAGAGGAAGCGAGGCATGTCAGTCAAATTCAAGATACTGACCGCATTGCTATACGCTCTCCAGCAATTATGAGCAGATACAATCGTCCCAATACTAGGGTGATTGGGGAGCGTGAAGGACATCGTGATAATAGCCCCGATGAGGAAAGATTGAAGAAGTGGCTAATCACATACCTTAGTCAACCCCTGCTCTTTCAACAAAGCGTCCACTTCTTCTGGCTTGTAAATATGAACATGTGGAGCACCAGTTTCTTCATCTAGAGAGATGACAGAGAACTCGACTGGAGAAAGCAAACTCATAAATATCGGTATCGTATGAATGGGCAAATTGGATATCCAACTTACCTCGATCAGAGCTAAGTGTGGTAGCATCCATAGTTTTGCTCAAGACTTTGAGGGCTAAGACGATTGCCTCATCCAAGTCCATCGTATCTTTATAATCTTGTCTGAGTAACGACGTAGCGGTTGAATTACCACTACCAATACATGTGGCTTTCCAGGCGGCATAATTTCCTGATGGATCGGTCGAATACAGCTACGGGCAAGAATGAATGAAGGTAAGCCTAAGTCTACATTCAAGGCCGTGGCAATGACTGTCTATATAATACCTGAAATTGATGATGTGGGTCGTGACCAGCGAATAAAAAGGAGACTCCGAATGGTCGTTGTCCTGTGAGGTAAAGAAAAGCAGTTCGTTCATAAAGACGCACATCCGCCAATCCGCTGGACATATCATGCCCCATTTAGGACTTCAAGTCGTACGAACCTCCAAACTGAGTGTAACCCTGCTTCAAATCACAAACTCTTTTGACCATCTGCTCTACAGGCATATCTTGATCGAATGAAACTAAATGACTCTGTTTCACGCAAAGTATAAGAATCACAATATTAAGTGCCCATGTAACCTTCTATGTATAGCAAGAAATGTCCTGATCGAAGAGCTGACCTGAGCGACGGAACGTGAATAGTTAACGAGGGAGTTGGCATCGGCTGTGTACCCAGCTACACCGGACACTAAATTACTTGATGTTTGAATCGGGTAGCGACCAAAGACACGGTCAACAAAGCTGTTCCACAGTTCCAAACTGAACACAAGACTGGGGATTGAAATGTCGAAATGACCAACTTGTTGATTAGGAAGATCTTTTCACTTGATCCCTGCTCTTTCTCCAGAAGCTTGCTCGTCACTTTCTTTTCTGCAGCTAAAACGACACCTGTCCTTCGCTTTCCTTTCTTTGAACTGGAGTCTTCTTTCGTTTGAGTCACGTCGGTCATTGCTACATCCTCTGAGCCACTACCCGTCTTAGTCTCTTCGGAGGAGGGTGGACTACAGGAAGCGAGGATACCGATGACTGTACCGGCATGGTTGATAGCTTCCATAGCATATTCAACCTGGTACAATCTACCTTCGGGTGAAAAGATGGTAGTTCCTGGAAAAGCACTACGTTAACATTCAGGTTGAGTAAGATTGATATATGTGGAACATACGAGAGTCATATCTTCGTGCCATTTTTTGATTGAGATTCTTGTTGATGATTGATAGTAAAGGCAATGTATAGAAAGTTGAAGGTGAAGCTTTGATTCCCAAACTGTGATCGACGTGATGACGCCACTACTTTACACACACACAGAAACTCATGTGTTTACAGCTTGCGTGGTTAGGTCTGTTGGTCCCGCCAACTGGGGCCAACTGTGGACCCAGTTGGCGGGCACCACTACAGTCGCTACAGTCGAGGTTCAGCAACACCGCGCCCCGCCCGCAGGTAAAATTCAAAAAGTTACAGCGTGACTCATGCAATTTGCTTCTCATTCAAAATCAAAAACTGCTGATAGAATGGGTCTCAAGTTGTAGATATCAATGTTGGTACAAACTAAATTGAGGATTAAATATATATCATCCCATTTTATCAAGGGTTCCTTTTATGTTTTGGTTAAATTGTAACTTAAGAACTGCTGTGCGGAACTCACGTACCTAGCATGATTTCAAGTCTTGCTTGCGATGATTCAACGATTTTGAAAGTGTTATAATAAAAGTGTTGACCTTGTCCCTCTTGTGGTTACCAAGCGGTGACACATGAAATAAGTCAAAAGTTTTCAGCGGACTCTGTTTCTTCTCAACCTAGTACGCGTCGGTTTATGAGCCAATGCAATCTCATGCTTGATGAAGTAATTGAAGTCATTTTGAGTCCTGTCAAGTCAGAAAATGTTTAGGGTAGCACCAGGTAGCATTTTTGACGCAAGACTATGTACGTTTCCCCGAGGAAAACCCCCAGCCAACTGAGATGATGTTATTGGATAACCTTGCGAGGTGTTCAGTTGACTTCCACTCGCGGCCAGGCCATCCTGACCTTTCCTTTCCTTTCCACTCTTCTCATAAATTTGGTGTTGTTCATTGCTTCCCATCAGTCTTCATCTGACCCCTGCTTTCCTCTAACACTAACTTCTTGGACGATTGATGTCAAAATTGTAATGTTATTGGGTGTTATTCGGAAAATTCAAAATTAGTTTACATTTCTCAATTTCACATTGTCAATCAAAACAACGACCACAAAACCAATCTCAAAAAAGTTCCAAAAAGTTGCAAAGCATGCCAATCAGGAAAACAACAATAGATCACAGCTCCAGTAGACCTTGAAGAGCAAGAAATTCACAACATGAAGAACCTAGAGGAAGAAAAGTCTCAACTTGCTCAAACTAGAAAATCACTTGAAAATCATGAAGACCTACTCTGCGGCTTACCAAACAAGATACTTCTTGAGATCATAGGGTACCTTCTCAATGACTGCAAATACAAATGCAATGATGATCATATTCACCACGTTAAGAAGGAACTGCAGACCGTTACTTTTTCCTTACCAGGAAAGGGGAGCAAAATAACCGTCTATCAACACAACTCCGAATCTCCAATATTAACCAGTTTCCAAACTTTTGCTGTTGTCAATCATAGGAGCTATTCTCTTTGTTGACCTACCCTTTGGGAGGTAAGCAAGATTTAACTGATCTAAGCTGCTTAAGCCTAAGGTATATGATCACTAATGTATAATCATATGATGTATCCTATTCAAATTCTACCTTTTTCTACTACGATGATCCAGTATCTTGAGTTTCCTTTGCGGCTATCAGGTCCAATGTCTTTCTGGATCGAGAAAATCTTACCAAGACACGGATCTTATGTCAAGATGTTATCTGCAAAGTTGAGAGAGCAGTGGTTTGAACTACCACCAAATTCTCTTTCCATCAAAGAGGCCACAACAGATAAAACTCAGACACACTATCCACAACTATCTTGTCATGTCAACAAAATCAAGTTTATCAAAGAGAAGAAGGAGTATTGTAATGTCGATGCTGTCCATTCTGACAATCTATACGTCAGAGGGAGCAAACTCCACCCC